ATGATATTTTAAGCACAATAATTTCTACATACCACCGGATTAGTGGGGAGAAGCTTAATAAGTCTCCTCCTTACCCTGTTCCTGCAGGTCTCTGCACTTTAGCCACAGTGTGCTGCTACCTGGCAGGAATGGATCTGCTACACAGGGTTTCGATGCTTCCTGACAAGGTGGATGGCTCTCTGGGCTGGTCTCTTTACCTGGCTCTTATTTCTTCACCACTCCATATGATGGCCGCAGCACTACTGGTATGGGCGGCACGCAGTCATAGTCAGAACTACTACCGCATGACTGCTTACCGCGTGGCGTAGACTGAGATTCAGCTCTGGATCTCAAACCCTGTTTGTAAGTCATACCCCACTCTGACACCAAGGTGGATTTTATAATGATCTCAGAGCAACAAGATGTAGGTTAATCCATTGGATTAACATGCATATACTCTCTAGTAATGACCCTATCTGCTGCATTAAAAGATTTGATTTTTATCTTGCTGGTGGTTAGCGAATTCGTTTTAAAAAAGTCAACCACAAAGACTAGTCTAGTACAGCAAATAATTGGTTTATACTGCCTTAACTCCAAGCAGGAAAGCATTAGCTGTGTCACAGTTTCATACTACATACAAATTCAATCAAGATTCTGAATACATAGTGTTAACACACTGTGGCTAAATACACCTGATAGTTAAATCACAGTTTATTTTCCATGTTTCTAGAGTTAGTAATAGGATTATACTCACTATGTTACCTACAGACATTATGCACAAGTCATAGTTCAACTCTGATTTGTGCCTAATGGGCTTGTCATAGTTATGCATGCACAGTTTTCTTGTTCAATGAGGGACATTTCATGTGCCTGCTTTCAGGTTTATGTCAGTATAGCTTCTATTATTATCCTGTCGTACATCATTATAGGGATGTTGCTGCCTTCTTATTGTTCCCTGCACTGTGTTATAACAGCAGATACCCACATCATACTTCAAAAAAAAATTCAACTGATGAAGAGCTAGTTTCGACAAAAAATGTGGCATAGGGTTTCATTAATCCAAAAAAAAAAACTGTCTGAAAACAAAGGCACTCACAACTGGACAAAAAAAAACAGTTAAGTTATTTATACTACTCAAAAACTCAGGGAAAACTCATATTTATAAAAACAGACGTGTCTAAAATCATGGTTTGATCAATGTCCATCAATATGCATCTTGTATAGTTTCCAACTGTTTCCAAAAACATGACACTATAGAGCTCAATAGACTTAGTAGCACATAGTGGAGACTATGTTAAGTTTGTGGTATGGAATTAGGAAACACAAACTGTTTTTCTGACATCTGCTGGCTGAATTTTTCAAGTCTGAGTTGCTTCTGATCTCACCCACAATCATAATTGGATATGGTGACATTTCACCTCTGTTATAGAACACCTGATAGTAATGTACAAGTGCACGGGACACAGCCTGATTATGTTACGGTAGCAAAATACAAAATAAGCGTATGACAATTATGCTGACGGGGTTTGCTGTTTTGTAGTGTTTCATTTCAGCTGCTTTGAAACGTAGTCTGAGAATGTCATATTTGTGAGGTATACAGTGAGTTAGGAAATGACTGTATTTATGTTTCTGTTATTACAAAAGAATTTAATGTCTGTAGTGTCTTTTTAACGCAAGTGATATTTATTTATTTATGGCAGTTATTGAGGCAGACTGCGTTTGTGTTTCTAATTTGTTTACCCAGTGTATTGTTTTGTTTTTATCATTTTTAATGCATATTTTTTAATGTTTTGGTTTTGTAGATCTTTGAAGTCTGTTAAAAAGTCATTTACTCAACATAGTAGTGCTAATTCAACAGTTTTGTTAACCTCATACACTTAATCCTTTCTGTGAATTTTGCCTATTATTTAGTGTTTATTATTATTTATTTGATTTATATTCGTACCTTGGTTCATTTATTAATTTCTTTGTTACCACCCTTATGGAAACAACAAACACATGAATTAATTTGAACTTATGATTTAAGGAAATAGTTTCCCCCTCTTTGCCATTAGGAATGTACTTGAAAGGCCATATTATAATAATCCCCAAGTATAGCTTTGCACTTTAAATAAGTTTAAACATATGCTCAATATTGTTGTAGTGATTGGTGGTAAAGTTCTATTTTTTGACAATGTTAATATCCAACTATTTAAATATATTTGGAAGAAAACAGCATTATTACCGTTGAAACCATGCTATATGTCCACATAAATATAGAGAAACACTGTTCCGAAGGTTTCATGAAATTAATGAATGTCTGTGAAATAATGCACTATTTGTGGTCTCATGATAAATAAGACTGTATTTCACACATTCAGCCTTTAAATATAAGAAATCCCTAAATACATTGTAGCATATTCTATGGCATTTGTGAATCTACAGTGAAAATGTTGTTCTTTCTCCAGTTGTGAGTTGAAAATGTTACTAACTGTAAACTTGTGTGCAAGTGTATGCAAGCGTACACATGCTTTCAATTCAATAAAAGCTTTCTTAAAAATGTATTTCAGAGTCACGCCAGTTTCATGTCAGAAACATCTTTACTTCTCTTCCTATGATGCATATTCATTTTCATTAGCTTGTCTCCACTTGGATTGGAGGAATCATCACTCGCTTCTTTCTTGCCAGGGAGAGAGCAATGCCCTTCTCATAGTAAGCACATTCATTGATGAAGAAAGGATAAAGAGGTTCATTGCCTTTATACCTCAGTGTTTCCCCTGAGAATGTCTGGAACAGTGGGTCTTCAGGGTGGAGCAGGCAGAAATCTCGGTCCTGTTAGGAAAAGCTGACAATTAGGTCCTCTGATAATAGGCAACACTTTTAGATCTGAAGCTGTAAGGCAGGGGTCTCGAACTCCGGTCCTCGAGGGCCGCAATCCTGCATGTTTTAGATGTTTCCTTCTTCCAACACACCTGATTCAAATGAGGTGTGTTGGAAGAAGGAAACATCTAAAACTTGCAGGATTGCGGCCCTCGAGGACCGGAGTTCGAGACCCCTGCTGTAAGGCTTTTACAGTATATGTGAAGCCTTAAAGCTGCTCTTGATTTACCAGACATTTCCAGTTCCATCAATTACCTATGATCATAAGGTCTGGGTAGTGACTGAAAGAATGAGCTCATAGATACAAGTGGTTAAATGGGTTTCCTCCTCAGGGTAACTCGGCTAATCCCTAAAGACATGGTGAGGAGCTAAGATATTCAGAGGGAGCTCGCTGCTCCTCTGCATCAAAAAGGGACAGCTAGGATTGGGATTAGGATGCGTCCTTTGGAGGTTTTCTGGCCTCATCTGGCCTAGGAACGCCTTGGGATCCCTGAGGAGCAACTGGAAAATGTTACTGAAGAACAGGACATCTGGAATGCCCTGTCTTGCCTGCTTCCACCATGACCCAACTTCAGAAAAGTGGAAGAAAATGGAAGGAAGGTCAACACAAAACCTGCTGAAGGACAGTTTGTTTTATACCTATGTTAAATAGGAAGCCAGTGCCAGCAGACAACTACCTTAGCTTAGCATAAAGACTGGAAGCAAGAGCAAACAGGAGTGGAATTTCCACTCCAAATGCCTGAAAGTGAAAAATGCTAGATGGACAATGCAAATGTTCCTTGACTTCCATTCAGAAACTATCTTGAAATATTTATTGCCATCAAATGGAACTCATGAGCTTGAGATCACGTCATTTGAAATCTTGTACACCAAATTCTTGCCATTCAAGCTGTAAAATCAACCGTAAGTCACAAGAATACCACTGCTAGGCAACGACAAAACATATACATGACTGCCAGCGTCTAAAAGCCACCGAGGCTAACTATTCAACAAGCTCAGGAGTGAACAAGCTAATGCAGGAAATTCAATGGCAAAATGAAAAAAAAACAACATTTTCCTCTGAAGTTATAATATTACAAAGAAAATCTATAGGACTAAAATCTGAATATATCCACAGAAAATTACACTGTCATGGCCTTTCACTGTTTCTGAAAACATCAGGAACCACATCCAAACGTAGAACTTCCGGAAAATTTCTACACCAGTCAACATCATGACTGCTCACTGATATGAAGCCATTTTATAGTTAAGGCTTCACCCTGTGTTGTTTAAAACATGATTTATATAATAAGACGACAAAATGCATCCTGACCAATGAAGTAACATAAATATTTTATAAACAGCAGGTGAAGCAACATACTAGATATTAAACATGATGAACTTTATAAAGTCCATTTTATCAAAGGCAGATTTTTTTGTTTTAGAACAAAGGGTATTTCTTCTTGATTATTCATGTCTCTGAATGTATCTTATATTTTATTGTTAGGCAGTTTATGTTTACTGTAGTGGGTGATTCTGTTGGGTTCAGTCTTTAAATATTGAAGCCAGAAATATATCTTAGGACGTACCTGGAGATGAGGATGAATGACTGCTGTGATGTTGTGAGTCACACTGTCTCTTGGGTAGTCAATGTGTTTAACCATGGTGAATACATCCACAAATCCTCCTTTAAACATTTTACCTGATGATAAAAACAACACAAGGGCTTATAAGATACAAATAGCTTTTCAAGACAAGATTTTTAGTTGTGTGGCAAAACATAAACATATTCAATTGGTAGCCTGTACCTGAGTTAAATAAACGAACCCAATCAAGCATGTGCTGCACACCACCTTTCATTGCTGTATAGATGTTTGATCTCACTACACCATGGGGCTGAGGGCCGATCTCCATGGCTGCAGAAAATGGATTTCAGATGACAAATATCTCACAATATCCAAAAATCAAATGCCTTTGATAAACTGGTAAAAATGAAAAACTTACCAAAGCCATGCTTTCCCACTGAATCAAGGGAATATGATTCTTTATTGGAGACATCAAAATGGATGAATCTCATTGGTATATCTGGTATCTCCATCTGAAAAAGTCAGGACAGTCACTTTCTTTGTGTAACCAAATGTACGGGGTGAATTTTTTTTACATATGGATGTAAGAAACAGTTTTACTTGCCTGCAGGTGTCTGAATATGTGCAGGCAGATCCAGTCGCAGTCTGAGTATGTAATGAAGCACATACCCATGTTGGCAGTGGTGTTATGGAGGTCGCAAACAAGATCCACCGCCTGCGAACTGCCTTTCGGACCCAGCAAGGTGTTGAGCTCTCGGGACCTGACAATCTCGTAGGGGGTGGTGTCTGATAGGGGACCACTGTAAGACAGAGATAGAAAGTGGAAGCTCATCATTATCAGAACTGTGACATGGTCAACATCATCTCTCTATGACTGCCTTACTTGAGGGTGGCATGGGTGAAGCAGCGGTTCAGGTCGGTGTCAATGTATCTGTGGCACTGTTGCGTGGCCCGTGGATTTGACAGTACTATCACCACTGACACAGACTCTTCCTCCTCCTCCACCATTACTTTCTTCTTCACTTTCAGCAGCTCTCTCACTAAATACACCCCAGACAGCTCGTTGCCATGGGTACCGCCACACACAGCCACCCGGGACAACCTTGGCAAACACACCACTGCACCTACCTCCATTTGGCTGAGAGCAAACAGAGATACAGCAGGAAAAAGTGCCAGAAATTAAAGGTGTATTCAAAAAATACAGCTTAGTCCTTGTAAAATAATATGTATGTTTAATGCATCCAGGTTCCAGATGCACAGAATTAGTTCCATCTTCTCTGTTAATACGCAATTTATAGGCCTCTCTGTTTGTTCAGTGTGCATCAGTGTCAAACAATGTCAATCTATAAATTAGATTTTTCTTTGTTTGTTTCACTGAGTGGGAGGTATCAATTACACCACTGTTGATGTCACTTGGTATATCATATACAACACTGCAACACAAAGCAGAGATATTGATTAGTGAAATCTTACCTCGCTTATCTTGCTTGCTGAAAACTGTACAGGGACAGTTCCAACTTAAAACCCAAATTTACTCTCTATCAGCACTGAGATTAAAGTGAGTAGAAAGTCTCTTAAGGAAAGCCTGAGATAAATAAGGATGAACTGTCAGCAGCACATTTACAAGTAATAGATGAAACGAATGACTAACATACTGCACATCTTACCCAGTCTACCCTGGCTGTTACCTCTCTCTTCCCTCCCCCCTGCCATTTGCCCTCTTCTACCCTCTCCCAGGCTTTCATGCAGTTTCACTGATTCAGCATTCCCATCTGTCCCTTTGAACAGGCCATTGCAGCCTGTTATGCAAAACTCTCACCGTCTCTAAACTACCTCTTGTCCACTGTACCACATTATATCGTAGTCAGGGTGTACTCTAAGTGTGAGGTAGTGCATCCGTTGCTTCCTTTGGTCACAGCAACTGTGAGGTTAGCCACACTGTAAAGCCCCTCCCTAACCTTTCCCCAATTCTCCTTTTCTCTCAGCTCCATGTATAGGATGGTAGTTTCCAGTGTGCCTTTCAGAAAACTGGCTAAAAATAAATCTGCTGGCATGACACAGCAAGCGAGGTGCCTGTGATGTGTACAGGGGAAGAAGCAGCTCTTTTGGCAGGGAAAATAACAAGAGAGGTGGGGATATAAAAACAACACAGATTTAAGCTTCAGATCCAGACACAACAAGGTTGACTAGTCAGAGAAATCTTTGCTTTTTTTTTTTTGTCAAAGGGTTTTTCAATGCTTACCTTCTCTATCCATGCTTCCCTTCTTTAATTAGAAGTAAGCAACTTTATGTGGAATTTTCTGTTATATAGTTATTCCCTAGTGTTTACAGTGCCAGGCCAATCAATTTTTAAGGCCTATACCAACAATTATGTATCAGCTGTAGAAGTACTATTACCAAACTGTGAAAATAGTCCACCACAAGAAAAAGAGTCAAGTAAAAATATGTGCGTATTATCAGGACCATTTACTTATGTAGGAGTAAAGTACTTATTTTGCAGAAAAAAAAAATCCTGGTTTGTGTTTTTTACTATTCTATATGACGTTTTGGGATTGTAATGTGTGTGTGTGTGTTGTGTGTGATTAAATGTGTACATTGAGCTTTTTTTTTCCTTCTTTCATTCTTTTTTTTTTTTACTTTAACACATACAGTTTTGTAAATATTTGTTAACCTCTTACCATCTACCTTTTTACTTTTTTAAAAAGAAATCTTTTTTTGTCTTTTTATACGTACAACAGAAGAACTGTTAAGCAAAACTGTATGTATGAGACTTAATTTAAAAGGTAACTTTTTCTAAATTGAACAGAAATGTAAATGCAGTGTGTAATATTTGAATACATTTTCTCTACTCTTTTCAACATTGGGAAGTAAGTATTTACATGACCAAGTATGCACTATGCTGAAAATGATAAAAGGCGGATCAAGACGCATAAGGTTGCTGATGCTGGCTGGTGGAATGTTATCTCATTCCTCCTAAGGGGTTTGGCAAAGTTGGTGGATGCTTAGGGGAACAGGGTCATGCTGTTGAACACATCCAGCCAATGCTGTTTGTCAGATGACAAATAACAGAGTTGGAGACATTCAAGTCCTGGCTATGGCCCAAACTAACATGCCAGCATTAAGCATGCCAAAAGCCCATTCTTGTCAACTTTTGTCCTCTGAAGCATAATAATATTTGAACAAAGCTGCATTTTAAGGTACCCTTTTCGTCCCTGGTCAAAGGAGTGTCTGTGTGCTGGCCATGTTGTCTGAATATTGTCATTTAAAGCCACACCTCACTAGAGTATGGATTATCGCTGAATTTGTCACCAGCTGAACAAATCAGAAACTTTTTGTGCTCAATAGGTCAAATTTAACCCTTTTAAACGAGAACAAAAGAAATCAGATTTTTAAAAACTTTTTCTCAAAGTCAGAAAGGAAAACCTTTTACATGCTGCATTTATATTTTTATTCATTGAAGGTTCTGAACATCTAGTTAGTTAGCATGTGGCTAATTAGTGACAATTAGTATATCTATAAGGATTGGTAATTTGTCAAACTACAGCTTTTTTTTCACTATAACTATACCGTTGTTTGTCCCCCTATTATTACATTAAATAGGTAATTTCCTCTTTTAGCATCAGTCATTTTTATGTACTAGTTTGTGTCTTTTCTGCATCAGTTTATGATGGAAGTGTCTTTATTTACATAAAGAAAAACACACAGTTCAGGCACAATGCTACAGCAGTTTTTTTAAATAAAAGTACTTCGCTTCTTTAATGCATTTATTGGGCAGCGGGACATGTGCAGGTGCATACGGAGGGGGACTTACACTCACCTGCCACTTTGTTAGGTACACCTTGCTTGTACTGGGTTGGACACTGTTAAGCCTTCAGACTTGTTCTAATTCTTCGTAGCACACATTTTACAAGTTGCTGGAAAACATTTCTCAGAGATTTTGGTTTATATTGACATGATTGAATCATGCAGGTGCTGCTGATTCGTCAGCTGCACATCCATGATGCAAATGTCATGTTGAACCACATCCCAAAGGTGCTCTACTGGACTGAGATCTGGTGACTGTGGAGGCCATTGGAGTATGGTGAACTCATTGTTATGTTCCAGAAACCAGTTTGACATGATTTGAGCTTTGCAATATGGTGTATTATACTGCTCGAAGTAGCCACAAGAAGATTGGTACACTGTGGTCATAAAGGGATGGACATGGTTAACAACAATACTCAGGTAGGCTGTGGTGTTTAAGCGATGCTTAATTGGTATTAAAGGGTCCAAAGCGTACCAAGAAAATATTCCCCCACACCATTATAACATTTTTCCAATCTCCTATTGTCCAATTATGGTGAGCCTGTGCAAATTTAAGCCTCAGTTTCCTGTTCTTAGCTGACAGGAGTGGCACCTGGTTTGGTCTTTTGCTGTTGTAAGGTTCAACGAACTGAGTGTTCAGAGATGGTCTTCTGAATAATTTGGTAGTAACGAGTGGTTATTTGAGTTACTGCTGCCTTTCTTTTATCTTGAACCAGTATGTCCATTCTCCTCTGACATCGTCAAGGCATTTTCACCCACAGAACTGCCACTTACCTGACATTTCCTCATTTTTCAAACAATTCTTTGTAAACCCTAGAGATGGTCGTGCATGAAAACCCCAGTAGATCAGCAGTTTCTGAAATAGTTAGACCAGCCCATCTGGCATCAACAACCATTCAAAGTCACTTAAGACAAATTTCGTCCCCATTCTGAGGCCCAGCTTGAATTTCAGCAGGTCTTCTTGACCATGTCTACACGCCTAAATGCATAGAGTTGATGCCATGTGACTGGCTGATTGGATATTTGCGTTAACAGGTATTTTCCAAATACGTATACTTCCCTATAAATAGTGGTAGTTAAGTAAAGTAGCAGTACCACAGTGAAAATATTCCACTACAAGTAAATATCTTGCAATCCAATTAATGTATGTAAGTATGTATTATTAGCAAAATGTATCTAAAGTACAAGAAGTATTTATTTCACAGTAAAATGTTCTCTATCAGTGTTTTCCTATTAGATATATAATGTTTTTGGATTAAAAGCACTGCATTTTAATGCTGTAGGTGCTAAAGGTTGAGCTAATTTTAACTTCTTTATATGCTGTTAGGTAGTTTAACATACAGTAATGCATGATATTCTGCAAGATCATCATATGGTTGTAGCGTCACTGTCTTGTGAGAACCACAAATCGCTGAAATGTCTCTGAAATAAACCAATAAAATAAAAAAAAAACTTCCCACAAGCTCAGAAGTACAACTTGGTTTTCAGCATTTTTTTTTTTCAAATGTGATTTTAAAAACACCTGAGAATGTAATCTGCCTTAAAATTAGTTTGTGCAATACAAAATTATATTATAACATGCTAAAACTAAATTAATGATTGTATTTCTAAATAACAAAATCAATTTTCAATTAACAGGCTGCAAGGTGGCTTGGTGGTCAGCACTGTCGCCTCGCAGCTAGAAGGTTGCTGGTTCGCGTCCCGGTGAAGACATCTGGGATCTTGTGCAGTATAGTATATGTATAGATAATGGATGGATTGTAAATCCTAAAGAAGCAAACCCTCATATGTATTTCCAAATAAAAACTACTGAAAATATTAAAACAAAGAAATTAAAGAACAGTGTGAAAAGCCATTTGTCTGACATCATAGCATTTATTACAGATTTTATTTTCTGTGTCAATACAAAATACTTAATGTCATGTGTTCCCTCTGAGTGAAGCAAATAAACTCCCTTTTTTTCTGAAAATGAAGACAGACCTCCTCCAATATTACGAGGAACCAAAAAATACAAGAAAAAAGCTACCTTACAGTTATCAGTACAATATGATTTTCTATACATTTAAAAAACATAGTTATTTGTAATGCTTTTAATTCTGTATTTATTCTTCATTTTTAAGTACACTTACAAACAATATCAGGAAATGCACGCACACGTGTGTGCGCGCGCACACACACACACACACACACACACACACACACACACACACACACACCATGTTTTTGGTGTCATAATGTACTTGCATATGTATGAACTCTTTTTTTTTTAAACTATTTCACTGCAATCTAACTCATTGATGTTGCTGGCAAATTGGCGAAATATGATTCTAACAAAGTGAAAAAGGGTCATAAAATTGTAATAATGTGAGGTTTTCTCAGTGGTGAAACAACATTTTTACAGATCTGTAGTCATTTCCCAATTGACTCCTCAAAGTTTTTTTTATGTTTGTTCAAAAACAGCTCCAGATGCACAGTAGGTATTGACTCATGTGATCTGTGTAGTACAAGTGAGAGCAGGTTGCTCATAAGGCGAAGAGAAAAACAGTTTAGGACTTGTAGTCATACCATCATTTTTACTATCATATTTTCTATTTAGTCATGATTAGAAATAAACAATCTGTTAACTATTCAAATTATTTATGACAATAATTTTTAAGCACAATGCACTGCACAGTGTCCCTGGTGTATAGTGTTGGAAGAGCAGCGAAGCAGTCATACACTCAAGCACACTAGAAACTTCATTTCATTACATTAAGACACTAAATCAGAGAGATGAACACAAAAATCCTTGCTAACGTCTTGAAGGCCACCAGTTGACATTATAATGAAAATTATTTTAATCATAATTATATATAAATGTATATATTAACCAGACTTTACCCCCTTTTTTCAAGTGATTACCAAAGCAGACTATGCTGTGGATGCTGACAGGAACCCTACATTATCAAACAGGGTGGTATCAGCACAAAACCTCTTTTGCCCCTGATTTGACAAATAGACAACAATCTACAATAGATTTGGAAGCACTGCTTGTTTAGTCTCCAGCTTTATGCACACCCTGATCCAAGTCAAAGCCCAAACAGCAGAGATATTTTTTATTCCAGTCCTCTCAGATATGTGACAAAAACAAAAGGGGTAGATGCTAAGACTCGGGGAGACAGGGACCAATATGGAATGAGGGAAGGAAAATCCTATCCTGTTCTCCCTCTTGTTCAGACAGCAGTGACCATCCTGGAGATCTCTTAGAACAGAGAGTCACTGGAAAGGAGCAGCCGTACAAGTAGAGGGGAATAAGCAGGCCTTTGCGTAGCTGCCCACCAGACGGCTTTGATGGTCAGTTTCTTCAGGGCACCTTGCAGTCAATGCTAAGGTCAAAATATGTCCGGGAGGCCCTCCCAGCAGCCACGCTCCTTCTCTTCCCAGTAGCCTCCCTTATAGATATGAACTTGCTCACCTGTGATCTGGTCCTCGCAGCGCTCGAACCAGAGTGCCTGGTAGTTGTCATGAAGTGCACCTGAAAGAAAGAAATTGTGAAAAAACAAAAAAAATCTACATAGACAAACATGAATTAAAGCATAAGGAAGTGACAATGAAACAAATTAAAATAGGAATACTTGCTTTTCAAGGAGGGATCAGTGTGAGAGTCATCATCGACAGCTTTTGGAAGAGAAAAGGGGCGATTTTTTTACCCCTAATTTCCAAGATTTTTCCCATGCAAGGTAGAGAGGAATACAAAAGAAGTAAAGTATGAACACATTTGACTCACCTTCTTCTGACTGGCTGGAGGTGCGTTGGCTGGCAGCTTCCCTCTCTCTCTCGCGACGGGCACTACGTTGCTTCTCCTCCAGTCGCTGCTTCTCTGCGTTGGCCTCGTCCCAGCGACCATCCTCCATTAAACGCTGGTCCGGCCGGCGTCGGCTGTCAGTGGGTGCCACGCCCTCCTCAAGCTCGTTCAGGGTTAGAGCTAGGGCGGTGAAGTAATACATGGTTTCTGTTCCCTCACTGTGGGCCAGCAAAAATAGAGAACAGCAGTGCTGAGAGTCAAAACTTTATCTTTATAATCCTACAAGTAGTTTTTGTTTACTTACTCTGTGATGAAATGTTTTATGTTGTATAATTTTTTTGTTGTATTTTGAATTCTTTAATCTGTTTAAATGTTTCCCTTTCGTGCAAAGTACTTTATCTCAAAGTAAAACAAAACAAAACACTACTTACGGTAGAGGGTTTCTCCTCCAGAGCTCTCTGGCTTTAAGGGTTTGGTAGACTGTCTTCTGTTTGCCTTCTGTGCCATTCTCTCCTCCTCGGCTGCTCTGCATCACCCTGGAGAACTCCATCTTCTCATCCCATGTGCCTGACAGCACGTAGTGGGCCTTGCCATCTTTGTCCATTACTACACCTGTCACCTGAAACAGGAGAGACAGGGGGTTAACAGAAACAGAGGACTAAAGTGTCATGACTCATCGAGCACAAGATACAGAGAAAAGGACAAAAAAAAGGTGTCATGTAAAAATACAAAAGCAATTTGGTTCAAATCAGAACACACTTTTCAAAGAGGTCTTATATTATCCCAGTGAAGAAGAGAAAAAAAAGAACAATAAGACAACTAGAGAAATTAAAAATAGATTACAGAAAAGAAAAGAAAAGAAAAGAAAAGAAAAGAAAAGAAAAGAAAAGAAAAGAAAAGAAAAAAAGAAAAAGAAAAAGAAAAAATACACAATGAAGTCCAAAGCTGTGCATGACACCAAGAAGTTTATTACACAGTGGGTGTTTTTTTAGACATGGGACAAAGGAAAACCTGAACCTGCTGAACCAAATGTTTGGAATCCAGCTCTGACTAAATCATCAAAGGTTTCTGCAAGTTTCTCCAAGTTTCTCACCTTTCTCGCGATGTCCCTAGAGAAGTAGCTGTAAGGGGCAAATTTCAAATGGCAGCGGTCTCCTGTGGTGTGGTTCACGACATCAATCTCTCCAGACTAGAATGGAAACAGAAATAGTTTATATTGAACCGCGGGAGGGACCACATAGTTTTCAACTGAATAAACATTTGAGTTTTAATTGATAGTTATGACAACAGGATGACAATTACATTGTGAGATGTTAGCATGTTGATGTTTTGTGTAACTCTGTTTAATTAATATAATAATTTATAAGTTTAATAATTTATTATGTTACATATGCAAACAGTATGTAGGGTGAAATGCAGTGTGGAATATTCTTAATGACGTACTAAAACAATGTTTCCATTTTTTTAGATGCTCTAGTAGAACTCTAAAATGTAAACATGAAAAATTTAATGTAAATTAAATAATAATAACATAATAGATTAAGTCAACAATTACCATGTGTAGACACCAATTGACATCAACACATGGTGTTTAACCTTTTCTAAAATTCTTCTGTTCTGCTTGGTCATTGCATCAGTCTTTTAGGCTACAGTCACTGGCCAGCAGCACAAAGGACTGTAGTTTTTTTGTTTTGTTTTTTTGGTTAAAAAAAAAAAAAAAAGGTGGCTGCATCACACTTCAGCTAGGTTTAGTGTATACGTTTCTAATGAGTCAATGCTTTAAAAGTATTGGAACTGATTCGAACTGATTCGAACTGATTCAAACTGATTCAAACTATCACAAACCAAAAAGGATGTGTGTGCACTGCAACGTCACACAGGTAAAGATGCACCACCAGAAAACCACAATAAGTGTTGTCTGTTCAGTAGTATAGAGATCATATGTCCTTGTAAATGCTAAACCCACTGTAAAAGCTCACAACTCAAAAATAAAATGAATCTAAATTAAAAGGTCAGTTGTAATTTTTGGAAAAAATGGAACTGTTTAAGAATAATTGACTAATCTGTAAAATAGTAGAAAGATTAATTGACTGTTTTAAAGTGTATTTTACTTTAGTGGCAGCCCTACTATGAATATAAAATAAATACTATTGCAAATGATAAGAGAAATGCAAAGGACATCAATATATGATACTGATGCTAAGGTGTGCTTTCATTAGATGTCTGTTGTTGATGTTTGTGGCTTGTTTTTGCTGTCTATTTACCTTTACGGTTGGTATCCACACTGCAAAAACAGATGTATTTTTGGTATACTGGTTTGAATGAATCTAACAATCAACCTTTTAAATGTCAGACATTTTTTGGGGACTGTTCCCTGCAGTGGAAGGTAACCATCTCAGGTTTTACATCGCAAGAAATGTTGCAAATTAAGTCATGGCAATATTGGTTTTACAAGATATTGCATTAATGTTATGGTGTAGCTTGATCCATCTGGTATTTTTTAAACTATAACATAAATATAGTTGAATAACATCAAGGTAGTTGTTTACCGTAGTTACTTTAGATGTAAAGTCACTTTCTCAGTTGACTTTCCTGCAAATTAATATTATGACAAATAGTTTTTTTTCTCTCCTGTCACTTCCTGTTTTCTGTACTATTAACATGGCTGAGTACATAGTTTATCCAAAGCCTAATTTACCGTGTTGAACAGGTGTCTGTCCTTCTCACCTGATCAATCCATAGCTTTCCAACAATAATGTTGTGCACCGTAGTGGTAACTTTCTTCCATGTGTAGTGATTGTTGCTCTTTTCAAAACTTGCATGAATTGTGCCTGCAAGGAAAGAGGAAATGCAAACAGAGAAAAAGATCAATATTACTCAGTACTAAAATAACGCTTCATGTGCTGCAGAAACATTCATTTTTTAATTACTCTCTCATAAAAAACATTCTGACTCTTGGTTTGTGCATTCCCGGTGTATTCTTCATTGTGAAAGAACTGCAATGTTTGATCACACCCTCAGCAATAAAAAAAATCCAAAGCCATGTTTTACATATTTTTGAGCCAGACATTCTCTTACCTAATGGCATAATTGAGAGGTATTTGCCTCTGAACTTGCTTGCAACTGTGATTTCCTGCCTCAGAGTCCAGCCACGATCAGAAATAGCATGATGAGCTGCTGCAGGAGGGTGGTGGCTCACCTGGGAAAAAGGAAAAAGTTTGATTTAACAAGAGAGCATGGCTTGAGGCATCAAAATGTGCTCCTTGGGTGCAATTGTTTCAGGGTGTGAGTCCTCCTAATAGCGATGACATCCATTTAGTTTTACAAAACAGACCCCCCCCCCCTTACACAATCTAATTTAAAAGCCCTTGTGACTGATTATGTACACAATCAGTTTGTGTGGGTTTACATATAGACATCAAACACACATGGCCTTAAGCCTCCATTCTGTGTCTTCCTCCACAAGTAATCCTTTGTGTGTGCACCACAACCAATTCAAATGACTTCACAAAAAAATATGCCATGGTTTGGTGTTTTTGTAGGAAAAAAAATCTGGAACACAATTTTATCTAACTTGCAATCAAAACTGTTCACCACCTGAGATCTCCACATATATACATGTATAAATAATTGTAAAGATTGCTATAATCATATATTAGACGACTACTCCTCTAACCCCAAACTGCTTTTCTATTCCAAATCTGACTAGTTAAGACTCACAAATTCAAGTTCCCTGTAGCAGAACAAATACATCAAATAACAGAAGCGCACTTCTTTCCATATGCTGAGTTAGTGGGATTTTTAGAGTCACCCTTCCTGACATGCATTCCTCATTCAGTTTCACTTCTGTTTTAAAGGCTCTCAGTGTTTTTCTTTCACCTGCTCACACAGGGAGCGGTAGCCACATTCTCTCTGGCGATCCAGCTCATATGTCTCTCCCAGCAGGGGGTTAAAGGGCTTTCCTGTGCGGTGGACAGTGGTCGAGTAGGAGGACACGGAGAAGGCAGCCACGTAGCACATCTGCTCGAGGGAGCTCTGACACTTCGCAGCCTTATCCAGCAGTTCGTAGTACTCAAGGTCCTCTGACAACCGCTGCAGCATGGAAATAGGCTCATTGAAGTTTACCTAGAAAGGAGAATAATTGAACATTGATTTGGAATATTTATATTTGTACATAATTTCAAGCGACTTCAACATTTAGTTAAGAAACGTATACCAACTCCAAGGATTATTAAAAAGTTTTCAAGAACATTTCAAGAATTCATAAAGCATGTATTTAGATTGCTGTGATCTTTCTAAGTAACAATACGTTTTGTACAGTGAGTGACTGTACAAAAAAGGGGAATATTTTACATTATTTACAGCAACAAAAGCACATATTTAAGTAAAAAGCATTTCAAATTATGAACCCCACAGCCATTTGAGAGGATGGAGACAGCCTGGGCCCAAGTGGTGTTATGTTACTGGACCTATGCGCTAGCCATGGACTAACCATAATGAAATGAAAAATACTTTATTTATCCCAGAAGGGAAATTCAATGAAGTGTTATCAGCCCCGAGCGGGATTCGAACTCGGGGCCTCCGACTCCAGGACCATTGCCTGGTGCGGGAAGGCAATGGTCAACACCATGTTCGTGCATAAGGTAGCCCATTAGTGCACTTGGTACCAGAGCACTATAGGCCAAAGATCTATGACCAACTTTGCAGTCATATCTTCAGACGTGCGGCCTTATGTCTCAGACACTGGGGTGAAGAGAGGAGCAGAGCCATCAACTGATCACCACCTGGTGGTGAGTTGGCTCTGATGGCAGGTAAGGCTGCCAGACAAACCTGGTAAACCCATACATGTAGTGAGGGTAAACTGGGAACATCTGGTGGAGACCCCGTGGGGTCTTTAACTCCCACCTCTGGAAGAGCTTGCCCTGCATCCTGGGCAAGGTTTGTGACATGGAATCTGAGTGGGCCATGTTCAAAGAGTCCATTGCAGAAGTGACTGTAAGGAGCTGTGGCTAGAAGGTCAAGGATGCCTGTCATGGTGGCCACCTAAAAGCCTGCTGGTGGACAACAGTGGTGAAGGCGGCCATCAGGCTGACAAAGGAAGCCTTTTGGGCCTGGTTGGCTCAGGGGTCTCCTGGAGCAGTAGACATGTATCCATCAGCCAAAAGGGCTACAATTCTACAATTTCATTTAGCAGACACTTTTATCCAAAGTGACGTACATGTGAGAGCAGATACAACACAAGCAAGGATCTAGTCAGAAGAAAACAATCTAGATAAGTACCATAGAACAAATTCAAGTGTGATAGGGCGTTGATGCCAATAGCAGGCTGTGTGGGAGGTAACAGGACTTGTTTGTTTGTTTGTTTTTGTTTTTTGGTTGTTTGTTTTCAGGCAGTCAAGTGCAAGGTGCACCGTGAAGAGCTGGGTCTTCATGTCTTATTTCAAAGACTGAGAGGGAGTCAGCAGATTGAACAGAATTTGGTAGCTCGCTCCACCACTGCGGAACCACAGAGGAGAAGAGTCTAGTTGTCGACCTCAGACCTTGTTGCGGCGGTTGTATCAGGAGTTTTTGTTGGTTGAGCGCAGTGAGCAAGAAGGAGTGTAGACCTGCATGAGAGAGTTCAGGTAGAAGGGAACTGTTCTCGTTGTGGTTTTGTAAGCACGTGTCAGAGTTTTGAATTCGATGCGGGCTGCAACTGGAAGCCAGTGAAGCGATCTGAACAGCGGGGTGACGTGCTGCTGCATTCTGGATCATCTGCAGAGGTTTGACCGTGGATGCGGGGAGGCCTGCCAGTAAGGAGTTGCAGTAGTCAATGCGTCTTCAGCTGCGGAAGTTGCTGAAGCTAAAACTCTAGTGTGGGAGGAGTTTGGAGAGGCAATGGAGAAGGACTTTCGGTTGGCCTTGAGGACGTTCTGGCAGACCGTTTGATGGCTGAGGAAGGGAAGGCAGGGCTTGGCCCAGGGTGTATACAGTCGGGGGGGGAGAACTGCTGACCCATACTGTGGACATTGTCACGCAGTGAAAAGAGCACTTCCAGGAACACCTTAGCCTGGTTAACACATTCTCTGCTGAGGAGGCAGAGCCTGAAGACTGAAGGTCACCAAATTAGCCAAGAAACTCATCATCACATATCACTATCACTATCAAGGCACCAGGTGTGGACAAGACTGATCCCTGTGCTGAAGGCTCTGGACACTGTTGGACTTTCTGAGCTGACATGTTTCTTCAGTGTTGCATGGGCATCGGGGACGGTGGTTCCCATTTTCAAAAAGGGAGACCAGAGGGTGTGCTCCAATTACCAGGGTATACACTACTCTGTTTTTCCCAGGACAGTTTACTTCAGGGTGCTGGAAGTGAGGCTCCGAAAATGGAAGCGTGAGATAGACAGGCAGCTTGATGCAGTATCAGAAGTAATGCAGGCAGGCATTGTACCAGACCATGGTGGTGAAGAGGGAGCTGAGCTGGAAGGCGAAGCTCTCGATGTACCTGTCCTTTAACATTACAACCCTCATTTAGGGTCGAAATGACTTTGCTCCGTAGAGTGGCTGGGAAATGCCTCAGGATCATAAAAGAAGAACTGGAAAGCATTGCAGAGGAGGGTGACATCTAGAATGACCTGCTTCGTCTGCTGCCTCTGCGATCCATTCCCAGATAAGGGGAAGAAAATGGATGGATGGATGATAAATTCAATTCAATTCAATTCAATTTTATTTGTATAGCGCATATTTACAACAACAAGTCATCTCATAGCGCTTCACAAAGGCAGAAACAGAAACACCCAACAATCCAAAACATCTGGATTCCCTATAAGCTTCAGCAGTCCGCAAGCAGTCCGCAACAGTGGGAAGGAACCGAAAACCCCCACAGGGGAAAAAAAAACTCAGACAGAACCAGGCTCAGGGAGGGACGGCCATCTGCCTCGACCGGTTGGGTGGATGTAGGATGAATTGTACAATGTAGTTTACAGTTTAAAAAAGTTATTAGAATTAAAGGCAATATAATTTTGTTATTTTGCACAAAGAGACTTCAGACTTCTCTTCATTTTTAGCCATTGTTGTGCTGTGTCTACAGAAGTTCAGAAACTTTTATATTATAGCCTGACCAATACCAGATTTTAGAGGTGGATACTGACTGAGGTCAGCACCTTTCTGATGTCAGAGAGGCATTTTCTGTGACAATCATGACCTGTATAAAAAAATAAAAAGGCTGACACATGACCACTTCCTTCCACTATGCGGAGGTACAGTATTGTAGAATGTAACTCGAAAGACATCAGTGTTATCTAGTTATGGTTAGGTAGTGAGGTAATCTAATATCCAATATTTTTGTCCCATAATCTGGTTGTATGCTTAGTTTTCTACCAACAATTTAAAGATAAATTAGCATTAACTTTCTATTTAAGTAAGCCTACTTCTCTTTCTTGATGTTTTTCATGTACACAATTATCTGTAGCATTTTCAATGTGAACAACATAGCACAAAACTAGTCGTCCTTTTATTCCTTGTTTTAGAGCGAGGCAATAAAACAATCTCAACAATCATCCCAAAACAAAATTTCATCACACTAACAAATATAAACCCATTAGTAATTCACAATAAATCTATCTGTTCTTGGGATAACCTTGGGAGGACACCTGGAAATTGACCCTATCTGGTACAAACACACTTTTGGAAAAATGTATGTAAAATTTAGGAGAAGAGTAAAACGTCAGATGCATCATATGAAGAAAATGTGGTGGAGACAAGTCACACAACATTGAAAAGGTTCAGATTTCCGTCTTCATATCCATTATCTCTGACTGGGGCTTTTGGTTCTGTCAAGACATCTTACACAATGTAAGGCTGGCTATGCCAAACTTGCTTCATAGTTCACCCCACTGGGCAACATCCATTGTAAGATTCAGACGGAAACTACAACAAACCTTTACCACCATTTGAAAAGTAATTTCCCACTAAATATACAAAAAGCCAAAGCTGCAGTCCCAAATTGCTAGCACTAATGTGTCACAAACAAAACCCTTATTGCATTAGTGCAATATGAGTATAGCATTACTGGCATATTGTAAAATCTGCAAGTGATAATGTTTCCCTGTAATGTTGTGGGGACACGGCAGTCATTGTTGTATCCTCCATGTGCAGGATTCCATGCTGGATTCAGTCTAAGTGGGTTGTTTTGGTAATAGGTTGTTTATGGCGCAACAAAGTTGCATGGTACCGCAATGATGGAACACATATGAACTGCTAGCATCAGTTACTTTATTATTATTTATCAGTTACTTTATTATTTCTTTTGGACAAAGGCAGGTGAAACATCTGGTATGACTGTGCCTAGGTTCCTAAGATAAGCTATTGTGGTCTAAATTATCAAACAAACATCTGGTTCCTCAGTAGATATATTAAGAGAGCTCTATTCATCTTTATGGCTCTCATAGGATGCTGCTGACCCAATGCTACAGAAATGCAGAAAAACCTGCATATTGTTAAGTATGTGATATATTATTGTCATCTTTCTGGATGTGGTTAGTGTGTGAGAGTAAATGAATTTTTGACGTAACCATACACAAACACATAAAAAAAAGAGCAGCTGACAGGGTTGTAGATGAGGTGAAAGTGCCTGAGACCTCTAATGTCGAAATGAGTAAACTCTGCAGGAAATACTCACAGGCATTGGGATCTTGGACAGCTCTTTGCCGATGCAGTTCTTCATTATACTCCAAAGGTTAAGAGAGTAATTGGGTTTATCTGGGATGCGTGTCCGCCTCTTCTTCAAGGGCACCAACTCCAGAGACGGGGACTCTTGGTTCATTGCAAGAGGCTCCTCATTAAGCTATAAGGCAGAAACTTCTATCAATAAACAGTAATAATGAAAGCTCCTGGAAATAATGAAGCAGATCCCTGGCTTTTCAGTTAATTCAATGTTAACATTTCTCCAATCCAATTTATCATGATTGCAACAAACACTTCCTGATTTTTTGCAGCTTTTTACAGAAACTGTGTTTCGCTATACTCATAAATAATGGGATACAACATCATAATAGAGCTTTTTTTAGTGAACCAGTCTTCTAACAGAGACCGGAATGACACCTACCGATTGATCATCAGGACACATTTCACTGTTGAAACCGCTAATATTACTGCTTGACCGTCTGTAAGAGATTGAAAATAAACATTCTGTCAGTGTCTGGAAGGTTTGTAGCTTAAGCAGTCTGATTAACATACAAGGAAAAGGAAGGTAATCTGATTAAACAGACCCGAACCACATGACTGTAGAAACAAAGCGAAAGAAAAGAAACAAATCTATATGACTAAAGTACACAACATACAGGTGCATCAGACAGGGAAGTGGATTGAACAAATAAACTTACAAAGATCAAGTGACTGAATAAGTCTTGTTGAAATATGTATATGTATATATATATACAGTACTTAAATTTATTAGATCAACGATCATAAAAACAAGAAAAAGAAATTAGATTGCGATCAATCTTTGAATGTACGACACTGCTCAAAAAATCTCTGCTTAATCCTCACTAGGGTCGTGGGGCGGCTGGAGCCTACCCCAGCTGATTCAGGCCCAGCTGATTCAGGGCGAAGGCAGGGGACACCCTGGACAGGTCATCAGTCTATCACAGGGCCACACTTAGAGACAGACAACCAAGCACACTCAACTTCACACCTATGGACAATTTAGAATCACCAATTAACCAACATGTTTCTGGACTGTGGGAGGAAGCCGGAGAACCCGGAGAGAACCCACGCTGCACGGGGAGAACATGCAAACTCCACGCAGAAAGATCCCGGTTCCCGTCCCCACCGGGACGCGAACCGGCAACCTTCTTGCTGCGAGGCAACAGTGTAAACCACTGATCCACCTTGCAGTCCTCATTTCTTTTTAAAATAGTACATTTGAAAATTCATGAATAACAATAATAATTATATTTTAGCATAAAAAAAGTCATTTTGATTTCAGCCCATAGTGATGTAAAACATGCTTGACTGAGGGAACTGACACCTGTGTTCCAGTAGCTTCTAATTTACTGCAGAACTGATATTTGGTGATTCTTGGCTGACTCTTGACCATCCTGACGACCTGTCTCTCAGCAGCAGGTGATAGCCTGCATTTTCGTCCTGCTTGTGGCAGTGACACAACTGTGCCATGCACTTTATCAGTTGAGTGATCAGCACAGTTAATTTTAGGATCCAAAATATCTTTGAAATGGCTCCTAGGGACTTTCCTGACTAAGGTCAATGATTGCCTTCTTCAGATCTGTAGTCAGCTAATTAGACTTTTCCATTTCCACAACTTTTTATATCACGACAAGAGCCCGACCGATCTATCGGCTGGCCAATTAAATCGGCCGATTATAGCCCTTTTCAAAATACTCATTATCGGCCAGAGTTTTGCCGATTAAACATCAATATATTCTTAATTTCTCATAAAACAGTAAATGCTTTTAAGTGTTTTCTTTGTAAAAAGACAAATATTCTCTCTGGCAAAAGCATGCGAAAAACACTTCAGCAACACCAAGAAAAACTCAGTTTTTGCTGCTGCTTGTTGTGAACAAGTCCAAGTTGGCTCACAGAGATGACAAACAGTAAAGATAGTTTACGACCATACAGCAGTAAGATCACTCACTCTGCTGCAAATTCTGAAACCAAAACAGTGCACCGAGCTCTAACTCTTGACGGGTTTTCAGAGAATTACAGAAAACAACTTTTTCAATGTTTTATCCAACTTTTTAACTAACTTATTAGATAGATAGATAGATAGATAGATAGATAGATAGATAGATAGATAGATAGATAGATAGGTTAACATGATGAACACTACTGTGTGTCTTCAGCAACCGTCATGATGTCATGTCACTTTCACTTTTACTTTGTCAGAAAACACTATAATGTGACACAACTATATAACTAATATAATATAATATAATATAATATAATATAACAGCAACTCACTGTCTGTTGTTATGGAGTAACATTAGTGTTTGACTATTTGTGACCACTATATATTTAAAATGCAACTCTGTCAAAGAGGACATGTTTTGACATCTGAGAAAGGCGTCTCTGGTTTTTATTTTGGTTCATATGAGTCATGACTTCATGGTTTCGCACAAAGAAAATAATGAAGTAGACAAAATGTGATATAATGTTAAATGGCATCAGAGGGCTGCATAAATAATGTTTTGCCACTAACTTCACTCATTACGTTGCTTTTTATATATATATATATATATATATATATATATATATATATATATATATATATATATATATATATATATATATATATATATATATATATATATATATATATATATGTAAAGCTAAACAAATACTACAGGACAAAGTATTGTAAAACAATAAAATGTTCTGTCTGTGATTCATATCTTTGTTGTTGTTAGCATTAAGGGACCAAAAAAGAAGCTTTTTTATTCATTATATTTTTTTTTTAATTAATTGGCCGATTAATCAGTTATCAAAATTTTATTTTGCCAAATATCAGAATCGACATCGGCCTCAAAAAATCCGTATCAGTCAGGCCCTAATCATGACTCTAATAATTCAAGTTGCTGTATGTACTTTTTTTTTTTGACCTAGCAGATTTTGTCATATTTATAAAAGACCTGTTATAAATGTGTGAAACAACCAATATGCATGATTGTATTTTGTGACAAAAACATGTGTGTCACGTTATTCCATCATGAAAAAATAAGAGCTGTAGGAGTCATTGAAAACTTAAGACTGCTATGATATACATGATACATGACTGGTAAACATTTGTCTGCGGGGTAAAAGACATGATACTGACTTGTGGAACTGAGGGTCTGCAGGTACAGTGATAAACTCAGGCGCCTCTTCCATGGCATCAAAAAACTCGTTGTCATCATCCTCATCGCTGGCTTCACTTTTTCCTGGCCCAACTGCACCTTTAAAAAAACAGTTTTTTGCATAAGAAAGTGAAAACTAATTTACCAATTATAATAAACCGTCCTTCTCATTGTAAGTTAACCTTTACATGCCAAGTGATTTTTCTCTTAGGTGAGAGAGCCTAAAAGGCAACAAAAATTGTCGGCATTCCTGCTGCAAAGAACTTTTGTTTTTTTAATTTAGTCAAATAATTGTTAAACTTATATAACATATTTAAATTGTGAATCTTTGCATTAAGCAGAGGAAAATGACAAATCCTCACAACAGATTTGATTAAATTAGGCAATTAATAATATTGCCCTTTTTAAGAAAACTTTAATATAACACAGTTTCGGGTTATTTTTGGTTGATTGACTAATGCAGTCATTTCCAAGCTGCAGGTCAAATACCCGTGAAAAAGGCTGCAAACAAAGTGTGAGGGTTTATGAGATGATAAACAGGATAGGCATGCAATAATTAATTATAACTGTGTAGCTACTCAGTCATTCAGCCCTGCTCATCCTAAAAGCTTCAGAAAAAGAGAAAGTAGAGTTCTCTTTTTGGTTCTGAAAGACATTTCACTTCTCATTCAAAAGCCTTCTTTTGTTTATCTATGGTACCACTGTACTACTTTTCTTTGTGAACTGAAGAGGCTTCCTGGATGAGAGGTGAAAGGTCTTTAAGAACCAAAAGGAAAAGTTCAGTTGCTTTTTACTGAAGCTCTTAGGATTAAATAATCACATTCACTTGTGAAGTATCAGATAACTTTCCAGCCTGAGTTTTCAGAGGGCAGGAGGAGAAGAGGGAAGTCTAAATATATATCCAATGTAAGGTGGTCAGGGTTGAAACTCACTTTTATTGTCTGCACTAGCATTAACCTGTGCAGCCCCTCTAAATGCTCGCTCCAAGTGATTGTGCTGTTTGGCCAGTTGTTCTAAAGTCTCCTCCAGCCTCACTCTTTGCTCCCGTTCTGCCTGCAAGGCCTTCTGCCATCTCTTACTGTGAGCCTGAGCCAGTGCAAGAAAGTCTCGGCACGCCTGTGGAGCAAAACATCAAAATCAAAATGAGAAATGAAAAATGAAAAGCAAATTCCAATTCGTGTGAGCAAATTTTTACCATTCATTGTGGCCTGCAAAATTAATTAGTCACAGTTGCTGTAGAGTATAGACTGACATAGTCAACTCCCACTTACAATCAAACCAGAGGTTTACATACACGGTCTGACATTAAATCAGACTAAACTTTTCCTGTTTTTGGTCAGTTAGGATTATTCTATTTATTTATTTATTTATTTGTTATTTAACCTTTATTTAACCAGGTGAGTCCCATTGAGATTGACATCTCTTTTACAAAGGAGCCCTGGCCAAGAGGGCAGCAACAAGGGTTACAACAATACAACACATAAAATAAAATAATTAATATATCATCACTATACTGTCATGTGATTTTCCACTTTTATTTTGAGTATGATCCCAAATCCAGACCTCCATGGGACGATAATTTCGATTTACATTGATCATTTTTATGTTATTTTGTTCTCAACGCATTCCACTATGTAATGAATAAAGTTTTTCAACTGGAATATTTCATTAATTGAGATCTAGGATGTGTCATTTTAGTGTTCCCTTTATGTTTTTGAGCAGTGTATAAGTATGTGAAATAAAAGCTACTGTGAATGTAAATGTAAAAGTGAGTGTGGTCTTTTTCAACAATGGAGTGTTTAGGGTGAAATATAAATGCTAACAATCAACTTAGGATCATGAAAAAAAAACCTGATTTGACCCCTCATAAGTCACTTAAGGCCCGATTTTTAAAAAATTGATTTATCGTCAATCCTTTATTGGAACCCTGGCTTGAGCAGGTTTTTTTCAGGGTTTCCCACAGGAGTTGAACTTCAACATTTTAAGGTATGTTATTACACACCTTTACAAACATATTGGTGAAGAAATTGTTGGGTAACGATTTAGTTGGCAGATTTTGATATTTTTCCCTTACTGTGTCTGCCGAGCTGGAGGCTGCACTCTCCCTTTATTTTTTTTGAGCAGTGTAGTTTGAAGGCATAGTAATCTTAGTGTACGGAAACTTCTGACTCTCATTATTCTGACATTTAGCAAATAGAAATAACTTTGGTAATCCTAACTGTCCTAAAACAGGAAAAGTTTACTCTGATTTAATGTCAGACAGTGAGAAAAAAAAAAGTTATGTGTCTTTTTATACAGTGTGGTTTCAACTGTATATTAAACATCAACAACAAGGCAGACATAGATATAGTGAAGAAAAAGAGGAAGCTTACATTAATCATGGCATTAGAGGTGATGCGGAATAGTGTGGCCCTTTCTGTCACCTGACGAATCTTATCCCCAGCCTCTCCAGTCAGACGTAAACTGTCCAGTTCTGATAAAGACCTGAAATACATATTAAATGTGCAACAATAATAAACAATTTGTGCCATTTTCAATCTCTTCACCTTAAGCAGCTGAACCTCAGACTCAATGAGTTTATTAATATGTGTGTTGTATAGTCTGTCAAATGCAGTGTTTGTGTATGTACCACTCTCTTTCACAAAAGGTAGAACAACACACCTAAACCTGGCATCTGAGTCACATACATGTTTTTACAAATCTTAGTGTGTGCATGTTTGAGTCTTGGATCATTTATCTTTAAATTAAAATAGAAGAGACATGAGACATGCATCAGACTCTTGCCTGAGGAATAAAGCAAAAACAGACCAAAAGAATGTTAAAGTATGACCTCTGGAGCGCAGAGCCATGCTTTGAGATCAAGTCGTTGCATGTGCTGAGATCCTCCACCTTGCTGCCCAGTGTTCTGAGAGCAGACTGGACTTCTGAATTTTGTGACCCCCCGCCTTGTCCAGGTGCCGCCGGTGGAGATGATGGAGAGAAGTCATCACCTGAGTCATCTGTTAACAGGCAAAGGGAAAAACAGCTTTAAAATGGTTTCATAGAACCATATCTGCCACTATTATTGCTGTATTAAAAATATAAAGCAACTGATGAATAATCAAGCACACTTCATGCTTTTTTCTTCTGACTGCCTTTACCACCTCCAATGTGTGTCTTACCTGACTCAGCCTGCATTCGGGCTGCCTTGGCTTTGGCCAGCTCAAGGGCAGTGATCCAGCGCTGACGTTCCACCTCACAGCTGGCCTTCAGGTGATATGTCTGTGCCCCACCATTGGAGATGACAAAGTTGCAGGCATCATCTACAGTGATAGTTGCTGTTGCCAAGTTGATTGTGCCCCGACATGTGTGACCCATCTCTGCCTGGGTCCTAAAAAGTAGAAAAACGTGACTTTACTATTTTTTTTTCTTTTTCTTTTTAATCAGACAGAAAAAATTTAGTCCTATTATTGAACAGCGATTCTTTCTTCTTCTTTTTTTGAAGGGTGAAATAACACTTGAATTCAGAGCTGGCAACTGGCAACACTTTAGAGATAGATGTGAACAGGACCGTCATAGCAAGATGAAAGCAAAACAAAGAAAGAGTTGACAGGGTGAAGCAAATTGCCCCAACTCTAATTAATATTTAGCTGGGTGTAATAAATAAGCAGTTATAGCAGATCAAAACAGATAGATTTCTTTAATGACATGATCAAGGCTGTAGCTTTCCTTTTTACCGCCTGTGTTTTGCAGGAAAGCATACCTGTAATATGACAACAGGCCATTGCTCAGGACAAACCACCTCCGCTGATAACCCTTGATGTAATTAGTCCATTTGAACACCCATCCTTTGTATGTATCGCCAGCAGGGGTGGGAGTGGGGGTCTTGGGTTCTGACATCACACCCCCCAAAATCAAGATACAGATTTGTGGAACCTTAAAGGGAAGATAAAGATTCAAAATCTTAAACTGTACACGACAAGAGTAAAATTTTTCTGTAAGACTGAAGCAATTTCTCAATCAATTATTTAGCAACATGAAATTAATTGAAAAACCTTTTGATTATCAATATATTGTTACATTCATTTTAAGAGCGGCAGAAATGTGTTTGTTTCAGCTTCACAACTGGAAACATTTACTGTTTTTCAATAATTTTTACCTGAAAGGCTTGAATTTTTGACTGCTGGTCGAATAAGCGAAAACGTCTAAACATGTCAGTTTGAGTTTGAGAACTCAATTTTCTATTTTTCAGTTTGTCACAAACAACTTATTAAGAATATAAATTGTATTTCAACTGTTTATGATTATGATGATATGATTCTCAACTGCAGTCCTACTTTCATGCTGAACTATCGCAACATTTCATACGATACTATGATGAAAGATTATTGGTTATTAAAGTTGATCTTTGAGTTAGGTATATCAAGTCAAGTAAGTAAGCAATTAATGCAGATTCGTTGCTGACAAATTTCACGAACATAGTGTTTGAATTCGAAGCAGGTACTACTCAAAGACTGACTAGCAAATAAAACATCTTAGAACAATTCTGTCCATTTGACTTCATATACTAAATAATATGAACTAACAGCGATTCAAACATGCTACAACAGTCATTCTAATAATGTTTAGGAGAAATGTGACAATTGTTCCTGAACAAAATAAGCAACAACAAAAACAGACAGTGACAACATTAGCTTGATGAAGCTGTTAACATACTGTCGAACTTGACACCAGAAGCTATCCGACATTAGCTACAGTTAAGCTAAGCGGGGTCTGTGTGATAACAACTCACTGCTAACATGAGCTAATATGAAGGAAAACAAACTGGCACGTTTGTTATAAGTTCACCAGCTGGCATGTGCATATTTACAAGGCAGTGTGAGCAAGACACGCGGCTAAACAATCGTTAGTTCACTTGCAGGCTTTCAAACTCGGCGATGGCTAACTGTTTACCTTGACGTGTCCAAAATGCAAGATCAGGCAACCAGACTGCCGGTGAAGTCACTGCTAAGTCAGACACCCATACACTGCTACACCTACCTGAGGAGGCTAACTGGCTAACAGACCGACACGGGACCGCTAATGATGAAAACAACGAAAACGAAGATGTCGACAACAGCAGTGTAGAAGTGAAACAAAGTGATACCAACAACTTTTATTACTATTCTTCAATAACTATTTGTATGATATCCATGTCACAGATGCGTACGCAGAAAATTATCTAAAGCTAGCTACACCTAACTAGCCTAACGTTAGCTCGTTGGTTACACCCGGTGCAACACGATTACATTTCGTGTAGAAACAAACGGCTATTGCTAGCTGCATCGTTTTCCGATTGGCTGCGTCAAGCTCGCTGCTCTCAACGCTCTCAACAGGTCTTGTAATATTTGTTTTCAAAGTAATAGTAAAGCAATAGGATCTGTATTTGCCACATAATCAAACCAATCATATTCTTCATCTCGATGAAAAGACACTGACTTGTATTTATCTGTGGTAATGAATCTGTTCAGGTCATGGCACATATTCAGATAACTGTTACTTTTGTACATGCTATTATTCCCCCCCAAATGAGTTTAATTTGAAACAACGTAATTTGGAGTGCACTTTAATTCCGTACATGCCTCACTATGCCCCTAGCTGGATATCATGCCTAACGCAACATAGTGCTGACAATTAATCCGGTTTGTTGACATAAATGAAACGAAAATTCTAATACAATATGCTATACATATTCACCACAAAGTGTAGGTAACGTTATACAATCGTTACTCCACGTTCACTTCACGTCGATGACAACTCCCTCGCTCTACAAATAAAAAAATAAAGTGTACATAGGCTCAACACTGTCGATGTTGTTAAGAAGTAGCAGTGGATCGTAAATCTATGTCGCTTCCGAGGTAGGTAGGACTCGAACCCACAATCTTTGAATCCCTTTGTCATTATCTGGAAGTTCAATGCGCTATGGACAACCAAGAAGTTACCAAAAATACACCTTTTGAGATCGAAAAATCAAATAATTCTCGTTCCTAATTAGTTGTGACACTTTAAATCGATAAATATGCAACATAGCAACTAATATAGGATAGAAATATGAAGAAAGCTTAATCTTAGTAAGCAGAGTCAAGTAAGCAGAGCCAATCTAAGAACATCATGTGAGCATGAAGAAGATAAAGATTATGACAAACATAAGAATTAGTTTTTTATTGACGTAGCTTGAATTCTGTCATGTGCAGATATTAAAACTTATATATTTGGGTGAAGTAGTATTTTTTATTTTTATTTTTTAACTAAATGAGGAAGAAAAAGTGAAGAAAAAATCAAAACACAGAAATCTCCAGCCCATTTCATATTTTTTGAAATCCTTAAAACCGCAGTAATGGTAACAACAGCAACAATAAAACAAAATGATATAACATTTGTAGCAGCAACAGTGGTTACAACAAAAACAATAATAGCAGCAACAAATACAATAGTGTGACAACCCCTTCGTGCCACTAGGTGTGTACACACTTGCTTTCCTGTCTTCCTCGCTTTTTTCAGGTTTCCATCAAGGCAAGGTCATCATCGAGGTGATTAACTGCACCTGGGCCCATGTAGTTCAATACACTCTCCTTCGCCTTGGTTCTCTCTCACTCCACCTACTCGCCTCTGCTATATGTGTGGGCCTCGGCTATTTTGTTTTGCTTTACGCACTCACACATCCACACAGACATACACAACTGATTAGTGACTCTGACATACGCTTATCTTATTTCTATAATAAAAATATGTTTTTGGGCACTCGACGTCATCTGTTCTCCCATTGATTGTTGCACTCTAAGAGCCGGGCTGTACACAGAAAACAGACTAGGCCTCAGCAGAGAACCAGTACCCTTCCCTGATGATCAAGCAAGCTGGAAACTTCCAGGAGGCTGATGTGAAAACCTTGCAAGAAGAAAAAAGCACAGAGGAGAAGAACAAGAACCTTCAGAAAATAAAAACAAAAATCATCCTGAAGGACAAAAGTGAACTGGAGGCAAAGGTTAAAGAACTCCAAAGGCAAAACCAGGAACTGGAGATAAAAAGGTAACTGGTTAAAGATGAGTTTATGAGCCTGAAGCAGAAGGACAAATCTTTCAAAGAGGAGAAGAAAGAAATGTGCACAGACATTAAGGAACTGCAGCAGGCCAAGAAAAAAACTCTTGTTAGAAAACAAGAAACTAGAAAAAGAGCTGCAGGAAGAAAAAAGAAAAACAGAAAAGAAGGAAACTAAGGCGGCTGAGAGAAAGGAGATAGGGGAAAAAATGATGGCACTTCAGAATGACAATTAAAAACAAAAAACAAAAAAACTAAAGTTCAGTAAGAAGGTGCTGAAGAAACAATACAAAGAACTGAATGAGGAGAATGAAAGATGGCAGAAGAGGTAAAAGTTCAGAAAGATGAGAATCAAGAGCATGGAATTGCAAAGATGAAAGTGAAGGAGGCCTTTATAAAGCCTGAAAATGAAGGAGAAGAAGACAATTGAGGAGAAGAATCAGAGGCTTGTCGTGAAGAAAAAAACAACTGAAAGCGAAAAACAAAGATCTCTAGTCGAACAAATAAGATTACGATTTGTTTACTTGCATTCCTAAACAGAAAAATTGTTTCAGTGGTTGATTGTTATGCTTTCTGAAATCTCAGAGAGGCCCAGTGAGCTTGAACAAATTTGGTTATAAAACGGGGAATTCCGTTTGAAATTCCTCATTTCTGTTCAAAATGGTAAAGCGCTGGAGAATGTTTTGATGCCAGACACATTGCACCCACAGTGAAACACAGTTGGGATTCCATTATGGTATGGGGGTTCCATTTGTGGAAATGGCATGGGAAAATAAGTGAAAAATGCCAGTATCATGAACAAGAACATCTACAACAACATCTTAGTGTATCACAGAATCCCCTCTGGACTGAATCTGATTGGTCATGGGTTCATAAAGCAACAAGACAATCACTCCTTCAAAGCTGTGCAGAGACTATTTGACAGAGAAAAAGGAATCTGGAGTACTGGAACTGACGGACTGGCCCAGTGAAAGCCCGAATTTTTTCGAGGGGCAAGGGGCTGTCACGCTTTTACGAACTTAAATCAGAAATCGCCACGTTCCTCTCTGAGACTAACTCCCTGTATGTAGAACTGTTTGACAACGAAATGTGGCTTGCATGAGAGCATCAGCTGCTGGAGCTGTCATGTGATCAGATGCTGATAAAGAGATGTGGGGAGGTAAGACTTTCCCACTTCTGGTGCAGCCATGTGATGGCTGAGTATCCATCCCTCGCCACTCTTGCAGTTAAAACAATCTTACCATTTAGCTCAACCTGTTTGTGTGAAAGTGGCTTCTCTGCCTTGGTCCAGCTCAGGTCACAGCAGAGAAACAGGTTGGACACTGAGCATGATCTGAGAGCAGCTCTGTCTGCTGTCACCCCAGACTTTGAAACTCTAATCGAGAGTAGAGCACATGCCCAGCTGTCGAAATAACTTCAACAAATGACCTGATTAGGCCAAAACTTTATTTTTGAGTAGTTTTGATATTTATTTTATTCACTTGTGTACATGCAGTTGTCATGGTCCTCCTTAGTTTCTTAATAATTTTCTCAAAATGGAGTGAAAATATGTTGTTTTGTGCACTTTTTTATTTTGTGCAGTTTTGTGCATGCAGTTGTCATGGTTCACTTAATATGCATGGTTATATGCTCTGAAATTCATGTTGCACAGGAAAATATATTGAATATTGAATTCTAAAAAAACTGGGTCGCGACTAAATGACCATGGGAAAATGTGGGTCCCAGGGTGAGACCAGTTGAAAACCCCTGGATTAGATAGAACTTTATTGATCCCTTTGGTAGGGTACCTCAGGGAAATTGCTGATGAAGGCATTGATGCTATGGACTAGCCTGCCCGTTCCCCAGACCTGAATCCAACTGAGCACATCTGGGACATCATGTCTCGTTCCATCCACCAACACCATGTTGCACCACAGACTGTCCAGGAGTTGACTGATGCTGTAATCCAAGTCTGGGAGGAGATCCCTCAGGAGAACATCCTGCCTCATCAGGAGCATGCCCATGTGTTGTTGGGAGGTCATACAGGCACGTGGAGGCCACACACACACCACTGAGTCTCATTTTGACTTGTCTTGAGGAATTTCCACTGAAGTTGGATCAGCCTGTCATGTGATTTTCCACTTTTATTTTGAGTATAACTCCAAGTCCAGACATCCAAGGGATAATAATTTCGATTTACATTGATAATTTTCATGTTATTTTGTTCTCAACACATTCCATTGTGTAATGAATGAAGTTTTTCAACTTGAATATTTCATTAATTGAGATCTAGGATGTGTCATTTTAGTGTTCCCTTTATGTTTTTGAGCAGTGTATAAGTATGTGAAACAAAAGCTACTGTGAATGTAAATGTAAAAGTGAGTGTGGTCTTTTTCAACAATGGACTGTTTAGGGTGAAATATAAATGCTAACAATCAACTTAGGATCATGAAAAAAAACCTGATTTGACCCCTCATAAGTCACTTAAGGCCTGATTTTTAAAAAATCGATTTATCGTCAATCCTTTATTGGAACCCTGGCTTGAGCAGGTGTTTTTCAGGGTTTCCCACAGGAGTTGAACTTCAACATTTTAAGGTATGTTATTACACACCTTTACAAACATATTGGTGAAGAAATTGTTTGGTAACGATTTAGTTGGCAGATTTTGATATTTTTCCCTTACTGTGTCTGCAGAGCTGGAGGCTGCACTCTCAGGGCCGCACTCCTCGACACACCCTACTCCCCTGTTCTGCCCTGCACACTTTTTCAAAACAGTTGCAGGCTTGATACAGCCACTCTCAAATCATGTGCAATGTTGAGCTTGGATCTGTACCTACATAAAACACACAGGGGTCTCGCCTCACCTCCCACCACATTCGATGTGAAGCCAAGAGCGAGACAAGCCTTGTTATATTTTCTTGACTGTTTTTTCTTAACACTTGTTAAATACTTCTCCATTCTGTGCAACTACTGACAGGCAATCACTGTGAATGGTGCAGAATTAACCCAATCATTGGGGACAATTACTTTGACAGCGCAGTTTGTTTATTATGCGCCACGGAAAACAGGCTGATGTTAAAACAATAGCTCAGCACAGAAGTTCCCCATAGATGGACCTTTTCTTCCTTGTCGCTTGCGCCCCCCACTTTGAGAAACACTGCACTACAGAGACATAATAGTGAACTGCTGATGTTTCTCATTTATTGACTAAAGAAGGAAGTGACAGTGACAGTGTTGGGTTCAGTGTAGCGGACAGCTGTTTCTGCAGCACCACAGCAGTCAGTCATGTGCAGTAGCTGAAGGAGGACAGAATGCTGTTACAGTACATCAATGGAGCACAAATCCATAGTTTCATTGACTCATCAATATTACACACAGAAGTACAGCAGAGAACACACATATCTTCCAAAGATAAATTTAGTCACTTAGGTTTTAGGCAGAGAAGGCTTTGTTATCTTCTATCACAGGTCACTTTTCGGAACAGGAAGTACAGGAAGGAGACACGCAAACATGCTCAGGAGATAACATGTAAATTCATAGCTACATTGCAGGGCTCCCAGATCATTAACAATACTAAAAATACACACACAGATGGATACATTCAGATAACACTATAAAACACTGAGAGAAGTCAAGGAGTATTTTACTATGAAATGTTGGTATGAACATTAATGTGCTGCAAATATGGACACATGACCTTCCTCCAACACTATCACACTAGTCACAGTGTTACTGTAAGGCTGTGGTTCACACTGACCACTGGGTTCCCTCTTCCATGGAAGACATGACCAGTTTAGAACCATAACAGTGCTGAGGTTTATCTGCATATATGCTGGCTTTAAGTAGCCATACAGACTAAGCAGTAGAAGGGGAATGATATTTAAATCTTGGTTAAAATGTCCAAATTTGGTTAAAGATACATTTCTAATTTTGCCATGTTTTTTTTTTTTTGAAAAATCCCAAATTTCTAAAGACTTCCGAGATTTTCTAAACATCAGCAACAAGACCTTTTAGGATTTAGGGTGCTACTGCACACAACAGCAAAATGAAGGAGTATATTTAATGTTTCCATTGTAACTGAAGAATTCTCATGAAGGTAGTTTTTTTTTTTTTTTTAAAGCTCTGTGGTTTATTTTTTTCTATCTCACTATAGACTGCATAGAAAAGATGGACACGGCCTCAGTTTTGAAAAGTGGAGCCAATGTGGAAGTGCCTTAAACCTGCATTTTCTTTCAGCTAGTAGAGGATGACTTCTCATCCTATTGACATAGAAGTCTCTGAGGAAATAACCCTTCTTCTCACTTACTTTGTTACCTCAGCAAAGATTTCTGAATTTATGGTTTCAGTCACTAACCACTAGCTTCAAGACTTTATAAATACATATTTATTGGATAAACTATGGTCCCATTTAGAGAAACAATAGAAGACTTTGCAGGGTATGTTTTAGAGCGGAAATCTTGTGTTTGAGAGGTCACTATGGTATCACAGTTTGCAGCAGTCTCGAGTTCTTACTGTTGAGTTTCAAAAGGCCATAATGACAATGGGTAAATTCCAAAAGCTCAATTGATGAATTATATGAATGAATTATAGAAGAAATGTATCCTCTTTCACTTTATTTTGGATCTATTTTATCTCAGAAGCTCTTACAACCTGCTATCGTATTTTGCCTTGTTTCAGTATTTTATACCATTTCATTTTGCTTCATAAATCGAGTTTAATCCTGCCTTGCGTTTTACACATATTTTAGTTGCTGCCTATCTGATCACTTGTTTAGCACTTTGGTCAACTGAGGTTGTTTTAAATATGTGATATAAATAAACTGGTTTTTATTTCATTCCAAAGTCTCCAAGGAGACACAAGGTTTTTACCTAACAGTGAGGATATGTGTTGCTGGTGCAGAGAAAGAAAACTAAACAGTTAATAAATAGCCCATTTTGACATGTTAGTGCAAGATGAAGTGGAAGCAGTAGATGCTATACAGGACAGGGCAAAGTAAAGAAATAATGCCACACTGAAAAAACTACAGGAGTCATCTCTGAGCTACACAGTGATGTGAAGGAGGCAAGTGTTGCAGTTTAGCGAGGATCATCTGGAGCAGCAATTTTGTCCAAAGTTGGTTCCATTCCCCAGATCTCCCTGGCATACTGGGAGATTGTGCGGTCACTGGAGAATTTACCGCAGCCCGCGATGTTATGGATAACCATCTTTGTCCACTCTTTGGGGTTCTGTTTATACATAGAGAGAAGAGGAGGGGATATGGGGGAAGAGGTCATATTGGAAACTCAGATAATTGTTGGAAGAAAATTAGCATGTTGTAGTATGCACATTGATATACTACAAGAAAGTATGGCATAATGCAATAAATATCACAGTATATTGCAGTAGTACAGCGCTCAAGCAACAAGCTCATCATAGCATAGTTCAGTAGTACAGCGCTCAAGTAACACTATCTACAAACATAATATGCTCTTTAATCTCTCTTAGCCATATAAACAACTCAACAAGTAACTTAATGTTATTTATAGATTTACACATGTGGTTTAAATGGTGCTTAACAGGCAGGAAAATGAGAGAAAATTAGCTTGAGCAAGGCAAGCTGTGTTTTATCAGCTACCTTTAGTTAGCTGATGAGGAACAACTGTGGTTTGAAGCAGTGTTCAGATGACACTGAGCTGGATTGATCAACTCATCGGAGGCTTGTTCAACCAAATTAACCTGTAGCCATTGATCACCTGGTATAAACATGCTTGTGCTTCAAGTTAGCAGCAGAACATTGCGCACTTTTTAACATTGTGATAGTTTTACTGTAGCGTTTTCTACTAAGTAAAAGTGTCAGAGGTCAGAATTTTACTCTGAGTAAAAACGACTTTTCTCAATCTTAAGTTATGACTGACTGAAGGTTTCTAAGGGGGCAGTGCATGGTATTCTGAAACACCTTGTGAAAACTGGATCAGCTGCATCTAAAGCACAATCAGGCAAACAGAAAGTGATCACATCTTCTAACATCAATATGTCAGGCTTTGTTCACTAAGAGGTAGGAAAGCAGCTCCAGAATTTACTAACTAAAGGACAAGACTCCAATCAGCAAAAGTAAGGCTAAACAAAGGTTGTGAGTGGTTTCAGGGGATGAGCAGCATTTCTAAACCATATCTCAGGAGGGAAAACAAAAAACAGGAAGTCTGGAGGAGCGGATAGACTATAGAGTCTACACCATGGTCTTCTTTGGTATTAAAGTTAAAGCTTTTATGTGTGTTTGGGCTCATTATCCTGCTGCAGTATCAATCCTTATACACAAAGATGCAAAGCAAAGGGTGGAGTGTTACTTCAGTTACTTGTAGTTACTTCTCTTTGGTCTGACCAAAGAGAAGTAACACTCCACCCTGCTTTGCATCTTTGTGTAGAAGGATTGATACAGCAGCAAAATAATGAGTCAAACACACCTAAAAGCTTTAACTGTAATACCAAAGAAGACCAAGGCATGCTAAATGCTGTATAGTAGATATCTGACAGAATATAATACATGTCATATGTACAGAAAGATTAAATAATTCAATGTGCCACAGCATCGAAATGCTGTAACAGACTGCTGAAGGTTAAAATTTGTCTTTTTAGCTGTGGTCGTTTTTCCTTTTGTTGTCACACTGACCTTGTAAAGAGTGCTGACTTTCTCTTGACTTTTGATATAGTCTTCATAGTCTGCAAACACCTTGAACCTGCAGCACAAACATACAAATACAATAGACAAGATGAAGCTTACTAATATAAATGAATATGACAATACACTGAGACATTAATGTGATCCAAGTACAAAAATCAGTTATAAAACCAGTCTTCAGTGGGATCTGCATTTACTGAATGTCACCAGTTAGAACTGAGCAGCCAGTGCTGAAGACTTGCTGTACTTAAAGTTAACTGAAGAATTCATCTCATGATTGGCAGATTTTTAGCTTGTTCATTTCCACTTAAAAAGGGATGACAGTGATTACACTGCATGACTATGTGCTATATGTCAGCAAAGTGCTGATTCCTCAGCATCAGCATCAGCATAAGCGAAGTCTAACCTGTCGTGGTGCATCAGCATATTGATGAGGTCTTTGAAGAGGCCAGGCTGTGTGGGGCTGAAGAAACCTCCTGATATCTGGTCCACTGCCTGCTTAAGCTCAGGGATGCGATTGTAGTATGACGCAGCATCATAGCTGAGGACAACAGATAGTCATCAAACACTGGGTTAGGGTTTATGTTATTATAGTCTGACTCACCAAATGTAGACTTCAGACATAAGCTTGCCTTTTCCTCCACATGTTTCACACAGTTTTCTCCTTCCTTTCCATTATCTGCATGTTACAGTTTTTAAATTCTCTTCACTATTGGAAATAACAGATGACCTTTGAGCAGCAACCTACACTCAGAAAATTTCATGTTTTGCTGAGGATTTGGATCATGCAAATAAGACATGCTTGCTTGATTCTTCTAGTCAATTATCCATTTTAATGACAGTTCTCACTTCCCTGTATGCAAACGTTCCACAGATCCTAAGGTGTAAAACCCACCTAAATCAAAGTAAATATTCTTAGACACTTTCTTTCTGGTTCCCTCTGTTCCAAGTCTTGTACTTATATAAATATCAGATTAAACTGAGATTTATATTTATGTGTAACTTTCCAAGGAAGAAATAAACCATCCTTCCCCAGTTCATTACACTCTGGGAATATGCTGCTTTGACCGGGAATATTTTATCCTCACATATCCTCCTGTAATGTTTATGCCATCTAAATCAGGCTTTAGACTATGTTTTAGCACATGTAACTATTCAGCAAAAGTTACAAAGAGCTGTTTTACATGTATACTAAGTATCTGATTCCATCGTTATTTCTGAAAGTGATTAGTGTTAGTTCAGTATACCATATATTTATGAATTTACACCATTCTGAAGCTCACCCCTTCTTGTCCATAGCCTCCACATCGTCCACCCTCATGCCAAAAATGAAGAGGTTCTCCTCTCCAGCCTCCTCTGCCATCTCCACATTGGCTCCATCCATGGTACCAATGGTGAGAGCACCATTCAACATGAACTTCATGTTCCCAGTGCCAGAGGCCTCAGTGCCAGCTGTGGAGATCTGCTCTGACAGATCAGCTGCAGGGATAACTGCACAGAGAAGACACATGTAAGAGAATGTACTCAGCTCGGATGTCCCTATGCTGCTGACATGATAGATGCTACAATCTAATGCAAGAAACTGTAAATATGTAGTGTACTGTAATAAAACAAGCTTAATAATAAATATTACCCTTCTCAGCTAAAGTGACCCGGTAGTTCTCCAGGAAGATGACCTTAAGACGATCTCCCACCACAGGGTCATTATTGACAATATCTCCAATTGATGTGATCAGCTTGATGATCATCTTGGCAGTGTGGTAACCTGGAGCTGCCTGGAAACACAAAGGAGCCACATGATGGGAAACACCTGATACAAATCAATATGCCCAACACAGCCCAGTAACAATTACTCAACAGTCAGTGTGTGCACAGTAATATTCTTTGTTGCTGTATTGCAGGGGGGGAAAAAATGACAGTGGTGATCTGTACAAGTAGAAAGTCAGAATTTTGATAAATGTGCTTAGTCACCTTCTTTTTGAGATGTCATTAGCTTAGCATATCATAAAGACTGCAAGTTGGGTATGACGGTGCTGGTACTGTCCAGAGTTTAAAGAGATACCTCTAAGGCCTTGATGCCAAATTGTTACTTATGCTTTAAAACTTTAATGTCATTTGTTTTGAGCTAACAGTGTCCCTGTTTCATTTCCCTGTCTTTGTGCCGAACTACTATAACCACCTCCAGCCCCTCTCTCTGTTGTGAACATGCAGAAGTCTAATACTCATCATACTTCCTACCCTTCATACTTAAGTGTGGGTGTGGGACAGCAACAAAACATTTTTCCCAAAAACCACCAGCTGTTCAGTTATCTTGTAAATCTGGAAAATTCTAGTCAGCATCTAACACTACTCACCTTTCCTCCAATCATGATAGTCCTGGGAGTCCACGACTTGCTGGGCTCCTTCTTGATGCCTAATTGGGGGAAAAAAATTAAAATTCTTAACTCTGAATCCACATTCATTTTCTGTAAACTTGTCAGAAAAAGTAACAGCACCCACGGTTGTACAGTGTGATGATGTGCAGGCAGTTGAGCAGCTGTCTTTTGTACTCGTGGATCCTCTTCACCTGAACGTCAAACATGGAGTTGGAGTTTATCTTCACCTTGTAGTGCTCTTCAAGATAGGCAGCAAACTTCATCTTGTTCTCCTTGAAGTTCAAGCAGAAGGACATGATTAGAAATCAACCAAAAGAACATAATAAATCTTTCTTTAAACATGTTTAGGTCTCACTTGTTTGACTTTGGCAACGTCCCGAATGAAGGCATCATCGTTCACAAAGTCCAGAAGCTTCTTCAGCTGGTCCAGATCACGGATATAATCCTCTCCAATCCTCTGGAAGTATAACAGTACAACGTCATTACGTTAGGAGTCCCTTAAATGTCAATTACCATGTAAAGATTAAATCAGAGCTGCAGCTAATACAGAACACAAGGGGGAAAAAAAAAAAGGTCCAAACTCCAGCACTAATCCGATTTAAACAGTGGGATGGTTTAGCAGGTTTTTCAAAATGTAAACTTTTCCTTGCGCTCACCATACACAACTGAACTTAAAGCTGTGTTAAATAATTTATTGGGCCATACCATTCTTGACATTTTATCATTTAATAAAGTCATTATCGCTAACATGTTAGCAAGCAACAGCCTGTATGCACGTCCAGAAGAAACTGAGGAATGTTCGCATTAATTTGGAGTTGTTTGTGTCCACAACATGTGTGTGGATATTCTGTTTTGGTCTCCACAAACTACCAGGAAAAATATTTAGATATTTAGCTGCTAGACGATTTGCTTTTGTTTACCAGCTAGTTGTTGTCTGAGTCTCTCTGCTGTTTGGTGCAAGGTGTACAGCTAGAAACAGGTCTGACTGAAGTGTTGAAAATGTACACTAAAAACTTGATAGAAAAAACAAACTAAAAAAGCTGGGTTGAGTAAAAAAATGCAGAATTAGCAATAATTCTCTGTGGGATTGTTACTACAAATGAGCACTTTCACAATACACAGTTATTTGATCCATCGTTGTTAACAACAAAAGTTTAAGTGCAATTTAAAGCTCTGTGGTCAGATCTTACTAAGAAGAGTTGTAGTTGATGTCTTTGATTACACATTTTATGTATATATTTTATGTATATTAGCTTATTCCATTAAGTTTTCCTCAGAGTAAATATTTTCTAACACTGTTGCATATCTTTTGTATTAATAATTCCATCGGGGTGGTTTTATGCCCAACCATGTGTTGGACATGCTCCAACTACCTGTCACCACACACACCTCAGCGATGACCTCAGCCAGGCCTGGGTTGCACATGACCAGCCAGCGCCTGGGTGTGATACCATTGGTCTTGTTCTGAAACTTCTCAGGGTCGACGTCGTAGAAATCCTTGAACCTTGAGGAGGTGTGGAACCACAATCATAAACCAATTTGGGAGATTATATCCAAAATGTTAGCACAGAAAAACTCACTCAACATCAAATTAAAATTTCTACAATTCTTTACAGACAATGCTAAAAAATAAATATGGGTGAGATTTTCCTACACAGTGTTTTTGATGATTTCAGAGTGGATGCGAGCCACTCCGTTGACAGCATGAGACCCCACAATGCACAAGTGAGCCATGTTGATTTTCTTGACATCCCCTTCTTCAATCAGGGACATTCTGCGCAGACGGTCAACGTCTCCAGGGTAAAGTTTTGTGATGCGCTGCAGGAGACAGATGCACAGAGATTAAGGAAAGCTGTAGATATTTCAATCTTGTGCAATGGTATCAACATATTCATAAAATTGTTCATTGTTCATGCACATTTCCAAATTTTGATTAGAGAAACACTCAAGAAAATAGTGCTGTTGTGCAGATAGAAATGGTCATTTTGGTAAAGTTTAAACATCATGTTTATTTGTTTGTCTGATTGTTGGGCTGCACGGTGCCTCGGTGGTTAGCACCGTCGCCTCACAGCTAGAAGATCCTGATTCATGTCCTGGCCTGGGCCTGGGATCTTTCTGTGTGGAGCTTACATGTTCTCCCCATGCAGCGTGGGTTATCTCTGGGTTCTCCGGCTTTCTCCCACAGTTCAGAAACATGCTGAAGTTATTTGGTGATTTTAAATTGTCCATAGGTATGGATGGAAGGATGGATGTTTGATTATTTGGCCACTTGCTGGCAGCAGAACAGGCTGAAAACAACATTTAGGAACGAACACATCTTTAAAACATATCCACTTATTGGAAATGTCTTTGTGTCCTCTTGATGTGTACAAGTCCAACATTAACTTTCCTTTCAGTCTCTCCACCAGAAAAACATACTACCCTAAAGCTAGGGTAGGCAAACTACAGAGTTTTGTAATAATTGCCTGTACAAGCAACATCTCTTATCATGCATAGCCATATGATGTAGTGTCAATATAAAAACATGGTGGTGAGAGGAGCTTTAAATGTATAGGCTATCATTTGTACGAACAGAAACAAAAGACACTAACTTGAGTGATCCTTGAGGTCCATAGCTTAAAGCTTATAATGCTTGTAAATCAGAAACTCCCCTTATACCTCCAGGTGTCTCCTGTTGATCTCATAGACGATCTCCAGGTGTCGAGGCAGCAGGTTTTGGAAGAGGTCGACAGGCCAGCGTTCCAGTGCTTCAGGCAGGACTGTGTGGTTGGTGTAGGCACAGGTACGCACCACAATGTCCCAGGCCTGGACATAGAGAGGACAGAGTCACAGACTGGTGGGTTGAGGATATCTGACATTTGATATGATTCCAAATGTAATGCAAATTCTACAAATTTGGAAAACAGCTAGCTTAGCAAAAATGTTAATCAAGGCCTGTTTTCATCAAAGACCTTATGTGACTGTCAAGAATTCTTTGTAGAGAGAAACAGCTGAAGGCACTAAAACCATTGTACAACAAGGGTGCAAAAAGAGGATCCCTGCATTCCAAATTGTATACTACAGCTTTTTCCTCTTAGTACATACTACAGCTGCCATTACAAAGTAAACAGTCTGATTTTGAATTTGCAAGCCAGCATGCTTTTCTGCATTTTCTTTTGAATTAAAGGATTTTTTTTTTTTAACGTACAATTTGCAAATCCATAAAAAATAGGATGGAAGGAAATGCAAGTTGATCCTACCTTAGCAAGCATTCTGTCACAGTGTGTTACTCAAGTCTGAGTGATGTGCCACAAAGTGACCACAGGGCAAATTAGCTAAAATGCAGGACTTGCACTTTGTGAATGGCAGGTTTGGGTCTAATGCTACAACAGTGTAGAATGTCATTTACCTTCTCCCAACTGAGTTTCTCAGTATCCACCAGGATCCTCATTAGCTCAGGGATAGCTAGAGCAGGGTGAGTGTCATTAAGCTGGATGGCCACCTGCAGACAAAGAAAAATGAAAACTGGATAGAACAAGTATCAAAATTCAAATGGTTTGCATATGACACAGAATTTATACCTAATAGACACGATCATAGATTTAAGGAATGGACATCTTTAGGACTCACAACATACTATTCACTAATAAACAAAGACACAGTAATGAGCTTCCAAAAACTCAAAGATAAATTTAGTCTACAGAACCAGAATCATTTCAGATACCTAAATAAGAGATTATATTGGGAAAAGAATAATAAAAAAATATGAATCTGGAAATGAAATATTACTGATATTTGTAAAAGCTTATGAAGATGGTCCTTGCAATAAGATTATCTCAAAATTATACCTGGGTCTTCAGTCACTTAACAAAGAAAATACTCTTGACGTTAAATCAAGATGGGAAGCAGAGGGCAACATCACAATTACACAGGAGAAGTGGTCAGAAATCTTTAAATAACAGTGGAAAACGACTCCACTTTGGAGAGAATTCGCATGGAAAAACACAATCCGATATCTTGTCACTCCATATCAAAAGAAAATGTATTCAAATCAGACAGCCTGCTGGAGACGTTGTGGAAGCAAAGAGGCAAATCATTTTCATATATCTTGGAGTGCCCTGCTGTAACCCCATTTTGGTTAAAAACACCAAATTCTAGAGGCCGTTTTTCTAACTGAAATTCATTTAAGCTGCAATCTCTTGTACCTGGTAAATTTAGAGGAACTTGATTGGAGGAGCAAGGATAAATATTTGTTAAGAATATTATTGGTGGCCTGTTAGAAATCCATTACAAAAAATGGCTGAAAAAGGAGGCACCCAGTATAGATGACTGGATTTACACTGTGCATGGTATCTTTGTGATGGAAAGAATTACTTTTAACTTGAGAATGCATAAACATGTATTTGTTGAAAATTGGCAAAAATGGACTGCATATATTTCTGCCATTAGCCTGGACTTCAGGTAAACTTTGGTTAAATATCACTGTTAATATCATTGCTATCATTAGTACTGTCTTTCTTTCTCTCTCTTACTCTCCTTGCTCCATTCACAACTGGAAGTCTCTTAAGACATTTTTTTTTAATTTTATCTCTCTGATGTTAATTACTTGCCAAAAGGTCTTCTTGTTCATTTTTTTTTGTTGCATGTCTGTCTACAAAATGAAAAATCAATAAAAAGAAAATTACAAAAAAAAAGAACAAGTACCAAAGAAGAAACTAATAAGACAGACACTTAGCATTGCAATAAAATAAGCTCACACATGACTAAAAATACCAGATCTTCCAAGACTCCCAAGTAAGGAAGGCTCAACAGCAACTCAACTTCCTGAGAGTGCTCAAGAAAAACAACCTGGAGGAGAAGCTGCTTGTGGCCTTCTACTGTAGAGAGCATTGTGGCGTACTGTATCTCAGAGTGGTATGCCAGCTGCTCCGCAGCAGACAGGAAAGCTCTGCAGAGAGTGATCAACACAGCTCAAAAGATCACGGGCTGCTCTCTGCCCTGCCTAGAGGACATTGCTAGCTCTTGCTATCACAGCAGAGCTAGTAACATCATTGAGGTCTCATCCCACCCTGGACACCACACGTTTGACCTTAAAGCACTAAAAAAAGGACAGAAAAACAGACTCAGGGACAGCTTCTTTCCAAGAGCTGTCACCACACTGAACAATCACAAATGGAACACATAATCACTACTGAGCCCCATAAATGTGAACACTAAAAATACATGTGCAGTAATCATCATCAAAGTGAAATATCGGTGCAATAACTTTTATCAATGTGCAATAGCCATGAAAAGACTTTTACCAACATGCAATATATCACAACATGTGTATATTCTATTTTTGTACCATGCACCAACTGGAGACGTGCTCCTAATTTTGCTGTACACAATACAGCGATAAAGGCATTTTGATTCTGATTCATCAAAAAAAAAAACAAAAAAAAACTGCCATCTTAAAGAGTCCAACATGATCACAACAAAGTGGCCAAAAAGTGCCCTAAGAGAAGTTCACATGATACCCTAAGAGAAGTGAACTTCTCTTAGGGCACTTCGTGGCCACTTTGTGGTGATCATGTTGGACTCTAAAAAGCTTCATCTACATCTGTTCATAATATCTTAAAATGTACCCCACATACACAAAAAAATAAACAAACATCACTGTATGATGCAGCTCTCACCTTATCTGGCAGTGTAGAAAGGTCCAATCGCACAAACTCTGTGGAGCCAAACTTGGAGGCTTTGAATCGACGGATGATGTCTTGAAGAGTTGCTGCTACCACAAAGTACTCCTGCTTTAGACGCAGCTCCTTCCCCTCAAAGAACTGAAGGATGAAAACATGGAGCGCTGTTACGACCATCTCTACCTTTTTATTAATAATACATACTGTACCATTAAACTAGCTGCACATTTGCAATTATTATTCTAGAAACACCTATGTAGATGGCTCAAGGGATCTTCTTTTTGGTTAAAGCAGCAATATTATTTATGTTTGGGTTTTTTGGGGGGTTTTCCAGGGCGGCAGTACTTGGCAGAATGAAGACACAACACCAGAAATACACTATATTTAAATTACAAAAGTTGTTAAAGGTAGCATATTTGAATATGGGTGTACATGTGTTTCTTTAAATGTTCAGACACAGAGCAGTATCAGCATTCATTTAGAATTATGTTTTTGGTCACTTGATGGGTGTAAGGCCACGTTTACACATAGCCGGGTATTTACAAAAACGGATCCACATTTTCAAAAATAACATTGTTCACACCAGAGGGCTTTACTACGAAGTAAGATTAGTGGGTCCGATGGGACGGAGGTGGCCGAAACGCACAGGCAATATTTGGCTGCTAATGCCAGTTTAGGTTGGCGGTCACAGGTCTGATGCCACCATCATCAGCGGCATCCCCCTGTGGGGGGTGTGCAGGCTGGTGGCAGGTTGCAGGCGAATATTCAATTCAATTTTATTTGTATAGTGCATATTTACAACAACAAGTCATCTCATAGCGCTTCACAAAGGCAGAGACAGAAACACCCAACAATCCAAAACATTTGGATTCCCTATAAGCTTCAGCAGTCCGCAAACAGTCCACAACAGTGGGAAGGAACCGAAAACCCCCACAGGGAATATATATCCAGATACCACCACAACGACCAAATATTTGGATATTTGGATGTTCGGGCCTAGCCCTACTGTAAATGTCGCTTTGCCATGGGAACCTGACGTGTTTCGTTGGCGATGCAGAAATCATATAAATATGTTTTTATGTTTGGCTCTGATTTACTGTGAAGTCCGTTTACACTGCTGGTACTGACTGCAGCTGATAAAACACAGATTAGAACATGGAGTATTCAACTGGTATTTATTACAGAGAATATTCAATAACAATTGGTTTCGCTCTGATTGGGCCAAAAATCAAAATGATATCCTGCATTATGGGACAGTGACAGACCTAAATGCACTTCAAGACAAGATCGTGTTTAAATATGTTTATATATATGAAGTTCAAAGTTTAATTTGAACGTGCAGCTGTCAGTTCGAATTGAGTAGCTGCGTCGGTAAAATATTATATATGAACACGTTTAACAGTTTTCTACCAGCATTTCTGCATTGCACTATTTGCAGTAACAGCACTTTTTATGGTCATATTTTTTTTTTATATTCCTCATTGTTCTCCATTAAAAAGCACTGAAAGAAGCAGCTGCACACAATCGTTTTATTTAGTGATGAAGAGTCAGGTGACGCGTTCAATGACCCTCTTTATGTGAACGTGCACAGAGTCTGAAGCAGAAAGTCTGAGTTGACAAAAGAAAGTCGATACCACCTTCTTGATACCCGTAATCTCTGGCTGGGACTTTCAGTTTTGTCGAGCTGATTTACACAAAGAAACCCTGGCTACGTCAAACTTCGCTTCGCAGTATACCCTCAGATCATTCTCAAAAAAATCTGCGTTTACATAAACCTGCATAAACAAGTTGTTAAGAGCTGCTATGAGCATGTCAAACCTATAGAGGGCAGTGTAACAAGAAACACCGAATGGCACAAATTACTTTCTGTTACTTCAGTGATAATGCCTCGGGGGTTGTTTGTTTGGACTGACAAAGCAATCCGTCTCCTCTGCTCCTCCACTTAATACACAAACGTAAAAACAAGCACTGCTTTAATAGCATCCATTTCTATCAGGGTAACCAAACTGTAAACATGGGTCGCACACACGACGCGGATGACACCTTGTCGCATACTGGGATGTCAAACTCTGTCTCCTCCTCCTGTCTACATGGAAACGTAAAGGCAGAGCTTTTCCAGATCTCCACTGTGGCCGGAGTTTTTAGACATGATCATTTTGGTGACTTGTAACTTTGTTTATGTGTAAACCAAAGGCCCAAACACATTGAAATATTACAGGTTTTGCTACGTGCAAACGGGTCCTAAGTCTTGGACCAAGGACTCGGGGTTGATTGTTGGGACAAGGTTTGAGGGGTAACAGTTCATATAAAGCTTTGAAATCTTCAGCACCTGTCCTTCATAATGATGACTGTGAACAAGCCATAACCTCAAGAAACTAATTAAGATTTGAGACTCTGTTAAAAAGTTTTGAGAATGCAAATCTCTCAAACTTTTGCATGTTGTTTTTTTTACCCTCTTTCTTCACAGTTAATCCATCCAAAACAAAAATACACAAACCCTTCTTAAAATGTTTGATGTTTCACCTTTAACTTTATGTCTTCTGGAGATTAGTTCATACTCTACTCAGTGAAATTCACATATCACTAATGCTGGCCAAAACAATAAAAGTAAGACAGGTTGAAATAAACTGTAATGATTATAAATCCACTTACGTTGTCATTGGGGTAGAGGACTCGGGAAATGTTCTCTGCCAGGTTTCTATCCAGCACAGCTTGGATGTAGCCACCAACATTAACTGTGGGACAACAGCAGTTTGAAGAACTCATGCTTATCTAATCTATTTTACTTGCTCTGTCATTACTGAATAAGATTGCATAACAATGCAAAAATTATGCAGTTGGTCAGTGATAGTTATTAATGTGCATAGCAGTCAACACTCACAGTCTTTCAGGTTAAAGTCACAGGGGGCCTTAGCAGACCACAGTCTCATGGTGTTGACAATGTTGTTTCTGTAGCCAGGGACAGGAGTGTCATAGGGAAGAGCCAGAACCACCTGGATTACATCAACAAAAACATGACTAAAAAAGAACCAAAAATATTTACAACACTGACTGTTATTTGCTGTAATGTGTTCAAAGTATGAGATCAGACTGATTAGAGCGTTTTAGTTCAATTTTTGATTACAGTTCATCGTTGGTGTGTTGCCTCCTTTCAAACTAACCTGCGTGTCGACCCATTTTACTCCTTCAGCTGTGTGCTCAACCCGACCATAGAAGTGGACTGGGCGCATATACTCAGGACGAGCCTTCTCCCAAGGATTACCATAACGCAGCCAGTCATCAGCTTCTTCCACCTGTGGAAACACAACCCAGTGGTATTTATTTGTTGTGGTAGAAAACAAACACCATCCAGTGAAGTCTATCCATCCATTATCTATACACGCTTAATCCTCACTAGGGTCGCGGGGGCGGGGGGGCTGAAGCCTATCCCAGCTGATATAGGGCGAAGACAGGGGACACCCTGGACAGGTCTCCAGTCTATCACAGGGCTACACTTAGAGACAGACAACCAAGCACACTCACATTCACACCTTTGGACAATTTAGAATCACCAATTAACCTCAACATATTTTTGGACTGTGGGAGGAAGCCGGAGAACCCAGAGAGAACCCACGCTGCACGGGGAGAACATGCAAACTCCACGCAGAAAGATCCCGGGTGTCCACACCGTGACGCAAACCGGCAACCTTCTTGCTGTGAGGCAACAGTGCTAGCCACCAAGTCACCTTGCAGCCTCGTAGCGAATGCCATAACCAGTGAAGTGTCAACGTTTTATGCTGTTTAGTACATAAAAGTACATAAAGTCCACACTCTTAATGCCGCCTACCATGCTCTGATTGACTTAGTTGTTTCTTCAACCACTGAAAAAGGTGTCAGTGAGCAAAATACCAAATCTATTTGTGTTGGGAAAAAATTCTGGTCTGAAACCAGATATCATCTAGGGGTTCTGAAACATGTAATGGACAGGTTTCGCTAGACTACCACATATTATAGGTCAAATGTTTCAAATACTGAGAAAGAAGAATGGACCAGAATGACACCACAACAGTATCACAGATTAATCGCTGTTATTAGAAATCCTTGGTCGGAATTGTCACTGTTAAAATTATGTTCACTTTAAACTTGTATCAAATTATCTGGAAACAAGAAAGTGAACATACAAAGATGTCTGAAGAGGTCTGTTTGATGGTGATGGGTCTATGTTTGGAAAAAGCTTTCTACCGCTTTGCCATGTTGTGTGCTTCTATAGGTCAATATCACACATGCTGTGGAAACTGTCAGTTATTTGTCAGGATGTATTGAAGTATCCATAATGTGGAATCTCTTGTCACAACTGATAAAACTCATCAACTGCTCTATATCTTATGAATTATGTTATAATTTGGCTGATACTGTGTAGTCTGAGTTTTGCATAGAGAAGCTTCAAGTGCATAGACACTACCAGGTGAACATACCTGCCAGCCATTCATGATTTTCTGATTGAAGATGCCAAACTCGTAGCGGATGCCATAACCATAAGCTGCCAGACCCAGAGAGGCCATAGAGTCCAGGAAACAAGCTGAGGAAACAACAAGAAGTGAGGTGGAGTGGGGGTTGAGATGGAGTGAGATAAGACTGTCTCAAGCACTAAACATCACTGTCAGCACTCAAACAGGAGGGCGCAGGAACTCACCTGCCAGGCGACCCAGCCCTCCGTTGCCTAGGCCAGCATCTTCTTCAATGTCCTGCAGCTCCTCCATGTCCAGACCCAGCTGCAGAACCCAACAAGACATTCTTAGAGCCAAAGCAGTAAAAAAAAATGTCCTTGCAGGGCAAAGCTGTCAGTATCATTCCAACATCATACTCCCACATTGGTTAAACTGATATTTGGCCAGTCAATTTTTTTTGTTTTGTTTAGTGCCCAAACTGCAGACCAAAAAAAAAAAAGTGTTTCTAAAGGGACATTTTGAAGTCTGGATATGCTTTTGCTTGTGGACACAAGGCTCGGAGTGGCTGATTCAGCATACAGTAGTGAAAAACTGGTTCTTACACTAAAGTCATTCTCCATCAGTTGTACTGGCGTTACGATCCAGCCTCTAGGGTCAGCTGGATGCAACAAAAACCTTAGGGCTGTACTAGGAAGCGAGACGAGTGGGTTAGCGAAGTATGTTAAGCTTAAAGCTTCAATCAACACTGATGACTTGCTGATGTGCGTATGACCCATGTACGTACATTTGATAAATACAGATTTTTTTGTACTTACGCACACTCTAAATGTCATGCATACAACAGAATTTAGACCCGTTGCTACGCATTGATGATAAATGAGGCCCCTGGGGCTTTATTTATCAAACGTACGTACATGGGTCGTACGCACATCAGTGCTGACAAATCCCACTTGTTCTTAACCTCCGTGCTTGTGCACGTTGCCTTCAGAAACGCCTCCAAATCACCATATACGGCAACAACATGCCTCTTTATAAAGCAAGTGAAGATTTTTTTTTTTTTTCTTCATCTGTCGTCATTGAGGCAAAAACGGCAACAAAGAGGACATTTTCTGAAACTGAAATGGAGGTACTTGTCAGGGAGGTTGAAGCAAACCAGAAAATATTGTTTGGTGCGTGAAATGTTGGGATAAGCAGTGAAAGAAAAAATGCTGCATGGGACATGATAACCACCGCAGTTATTTCGGTCAGAAGAGCGATCGCCAGCAAAATTTTTAAAAAGTGGTTTGATGTTAAGCTCAGTGCCAAAAAGCGCATCACAGTCCATAAAAAAAGAAATGACTGCAACTGGAGAAGGACGATTTAATACCCAACTTTCACCCAGTGGATAACCCTGATCACCTACAGATGATGTGTTTTAATAACCATACTAAGTTCAGCTAAAACATTTCCACACTTTGTAACACTCACCAATAAACCAGCCTTCCTCAACAGCTCCTGCTTGGAAACACACCCACAGAGCTGTTCTGCTCAATGAATGAGTCGTGCGTTCCACCGGGGAACAATGTTGGATAGCAACCAATGTGCATCTCAAATTATTTGTACATTGATTGAATGAAACCCTTGTCTATTTACAAAATTAAATTTCTTTCGTGATGGTGCTTTGAATGTGATGTGGGTGCAGTCTGTGGCTCCAATTATGTTTGGGAATTCAGAGATGGCATTAAGTCCCTGTTTGATTTGGACTCGTTGGTGATGGCTGAAAGGGAACTGGATGTAGGCTGGGGCCAGTCAAAATCCCTGAATGCTTTCTATTTGTAGTTTCACTATTCTATCACTAGATTATGTGCATATGCATGGTCAGAGTTGCGCGTATATTTACACACATTCCTAAGTATAGGTACAAGTTAATAAATTCCATACTTTGCGTAGGAATGTTCATACGCATGCTCCACGCACATATCTGTACGTATGCACTGTTGATAAATGAAGCCCCTGGTCTGGAGCTCTGGGTTAATCAGCTGCAATGGCTGGCAACTGGGGTTGGAGCAGGCTCTCCAGCCAGCTACACCAAGTTCATGCCACTCCTCTCCCTAAGAGGCCACAAGGGATCCATCACACAAATTTAAATCTTGGTATCAAAATTTAGAATGACACAAATCCCCAACAACATTTAGTTGAAATAGCTTTGTTCAACTATGTTTTACATGTTAAATTACAAGAGAACTTTTAAACATTTATCCTTAGTCAAGACTATTACTTGTGATCTGTAACCAGTTAGATAGTGCTGTGCCTGGGACCTTACTTGACACCACAGAGGGTTGATTACAGTCAGAGAAAGGCTTCTGCATCAAAGTCAAAGTAGCACATTTTTAAAATAATTTATTTCATCAGTTAATATATATATATATATATATATATAACTGCTAATTCATTGCTATTTCAACAGTTTATTTAATACTTTTGGCATCTATTTCAGTCACTGCTTTTGGTTGTTAGGCATCTTGCTTGCTAACTAGTGTTCATGCACTCTCAGTCACAACAAGTAGCATTCAGGTGTTAAAGTGGACTTACTATGACTTTATTTAATCAAAATTGAAGATTTAAAACCAAACAGTTTTCAACTTTCGTTCAAAGTAAGTACCACTGGTTGGACATCACAGATTCTCCTCACCTGGTATGTGGCTTCATCACAGGCATTCTCCAAGGCCAGGTTAACCATGGTGTTCTGCAGAGTCCGGCCCATATAAAACTCCAGAGAGAGGTAGTAGACACGCTGCAGAAAACCAGAGCAAAATAACCAGTGAATAATGAGTTTGATTCAGTTTTTGCTGGATATGAAGCTGCTCGTACTTTAAATATTAATTTCAATATTTCATCTCCATGCAGAAAAAAATACAAAATGTTACAAACATGTTCTGTTCTACCTACAATTGAAGAGGATGAAAAAGATTCAAGAGTCAAAAATGGTGAACTAAAGCTCTGCACCAATGGTTAGAAGTTTACTAATAATAAAACAGCTTATGTGCTCCATTTGTTGTCCATAATAACCCTGCAACAGTATGTGCAACAGAAAACAACAGCTGTTTTCAGAGACAACAGCAGCAGAGCTATTCTTGACAACACTCTCTCTAACACTTTCCAGTAAAGCAAATCAAACCACAGGCCCTCTGTAGCACTGTATAATGCTTTGTTGCAGCTCTGTGACAAAGTGAAAGTTAGCACATGCTTTCAAAATGAACACATGTACTGATAGTTGAAATGGAGCTAATACTTCAAACTATACACTGTGGGTTTGTTCTGCAGCCTCTCTGACTTCCTGTCACATGACATTGTGATCCTACTGCTGGCTGACAGCAGGGGTCGTATAGAAGAGCAGACATGGGAAAATGAATGTGCCAAAGTGAGAAAGGCATCCAGTGATCAGAATAAACAGGAGAGGTGGGTGTGTTGTCATTTTTCAAAGGTTACACTGACGTTACTTGAAAGACAGTCCTCCGAAAAAGCTCCAAGTGTTTAACAGCAGCTGTGTTACTTCACTGATATCATTAACATGGTATGTACTTTGCTCAACGACAAATATTTAGCCAAAGTCAAGACTATTGTAAAAACGCTGACTTTAGCCAGTACTAGCCAACATGTCCATCTTCTCATGGAACCTCTTCTTTTTTATTTTTTTACACTTACTTTTTGGGGACTGTTTTCAGTGGTGAATTAATCCACATTTGTTGTTCTAGTGGTGCTAATGGTAAAGACAAAATGTGAGTTTCAATTGAAATCTTCAACCAGAGACTCTTTTTACAGCTCCACCATATCATCAAATTGTATTTTGCGAGATGTCTTCCCCAACTGTAGCCAAATTTGGACTCCAGTAGAATTATATTAAAGGAAATCAAATGAAGTACTACAGAGGTCAGCCAAGCTTGGCAGCTTAATGTGTGCTTAGCCACTGGACCAGCTAGAGGGCAGAATTACTGCCCCAAAGGCCAAACCATAATAATACCACCATGGGCCGATTAGCCTCCTCAGGAGCCCTAGGCAACAGTTTTTTGTTGGGCCTCTGCTAACCTTCAAAAGACATGACAGTTTCATTATTTTCTCTGGCACCAAGCAAACAAAGCAGTACTCTGGAGCAGAAGTTATTACTTTTTTACTAGAAAGACAATCAGTTGTAGAGCTGACTGGTGGTTAGAGTCATCTGGTACCAGCCACTCAAATGTCAATATTTGCAGTATAGCTGAAAAACATATTGTGATAAAATATTTAATTTTCGTTGACATTGATAATCATCAACCAGGGCGAAGTCACCATACCACACTCAGGTTAACGATTGTGCTGGTCTGGAATGGGTATCTCTGGCAGGACCTGCACAGTAGCCTCCATGTGCACCCTAGTGTCAAGTCTGTCAGCCCTCAGAGCAGGTGACCACAAGTGCATTGCTTAGGTGGAGGTGGACATAAAGTTGCGGTGTATTAGACGCTACCAGGGGAGGTCTGTGGGCATGGATGGGGGTGACCAGAACCCCAGGCAGCTGTGGACTAGCATGCCGCAAGAGACCTGCATGGTGGTCAGAAGAAGAGAGACGGAGGGTGAAGAGGCTCCATTTTCAAGAGATATGATAGTTTAGGTAGAGAGCATGCTTTGGGTTTCTTCATGCAGCCGAACTCCACGTCTTAGTTATGTGCTTTAAAGGCATATTGCATCTGATGCAGTGAAACTATCGAGCAATTTTTATTGCTGTTGATGAAATGTCCAAAGATATCACAGTTGTTTTATTACCCAGGCCAAAGCTGCAGCTTTCACTGATAGAAAACACAAATGCAGGGAATAATATTGGCAATTTTCAATATTTTCTGACATAGTGCAAACAACAAATATCAGAAAATTTATATCAGATGTACCAACAGTGAAAATTGTTTATGCTTGCAGCTTCACAGTGTTTCTACCATGAATGAATACAACCTTGCATGGGATTTTCAGTTTTAATACTTGAAACACAAAAATATGGAGTAGTAAAGGGCCAAATTACAATAATAAATCAATAAAAGAATAAAAATAAATAAAAGTGGAAATAAAAAGAAGAAGAAATAAAATAAAAAATAAATAATCTGGCAAAATAAAGCAAGCAAATATGTATCCATAAAAGAATAGGCTATTAAAGTAGAAATATAAAGACAAATAAATACAATTATAAATATAAGAATTTATTTATTTATTTATTTTATTTTTTATCATTTTAATTTTTTAATTTTTACATTTTATTTGCTATTATTATTATTATTATTATTATTATTATTATTATTATTATTATTATTTTAAAAATATTATTTTTTATTTATTTTATTAATTTATTTAGCTTTTAAAGCACTTTTTAAATGTTGTTCTAAAAGCAAAGGAAATATGTGCAGAAAAATGTGCACATATTTTTATTATTTTATTTATTTATCTTTATATTTCTACTTTATTAGCCTTTTCTTTTATGGATTCATTTTTGTTTAACATTGCTTTATATTGCTGTATTATTTGTTTTTTTTAATTTTATTTATTCTTCTTTTTATTTCCACTTTTATTTTTTTATTGATTTATTGTTGTAATTTGGCACTCCCACTACTCCATACAAAAACTCTTGATTTTTAAAAAAAGAAAAAAAAAAAGCTTTTGCAACAAATGAGATCCACATAAACTATATTTTGAGGGTGAATCCCACTACAAGACAAGGTCAGATAATGGTGAAGGTAGGACAGCAGTGGTGTAAATTCCCAATAAGCATTTAATCAGAATCTACAGACCCAAATGTAATGGACTGAACATTGGGCTTCTGAGCTTTGGGAGTCCAGTCTTGGTCATAGTAGTGCAGCAGACTGTGCAGTCTTTGCAGCCAATCTATGATTAATTTATCATAACGATGAAGGCCTTTTAGTTCTTTATCCAGACTCCTGTTCCACTCCACTAACACTAAAAGAGTGCTGTTGGTGGACAGGTAAATACAGGGAAGTTTATTTCGCGCAGTCTTTTAAAGACAGCGTATGGTCATTTTGTGACGCACTGTACAGGGGAGTGAAGAGGGGATGGATGGAGGCTATAACATGTAGTTATGCAATGCACGTTTCAGCAACCAGTTGAGACTCCTCCGCGCGGCGCCAGAACTCCCCGATGTGTTGAACACATACGGAGCAGTGAGGCCGTGCATCGTTCTCAGCAGCACAGCAGATCACAGCAAGGTTGCTACGGCACAGGCACGATGGAGCAGCACATTATGTAACAGAGGGGAAACGTGAGTGCAAACTGAACAGTCATGAGCTGTAAACATACTGCCAGCGCTACAGACTGTGGTAAGAGCACAACACGCGTAAAAAAAAAAAGAAAGCAGCCTGAACGTGACTATATATGGATATAAAAACCAGAACATCAAGGCTCACGCACACATGCACACATACATACATACATACAAACGCACGCACGCATGCACGCGCAGAGGCCATCAGTTGTGATACTGCAGCCCACGCCCCCTCGTCCACACTCACTGCTCCCAATCAGCTGTGTACGTGCAGGACTGCGGCAACATCGCTGCTGCTTACTTTGGGGTCTTTCTCATAGTAATGCTGCTGTGTCCGGATCCAGCGGCCCACCAGATGGTCCCGGACTGTGTTAGCCAGGGCGAAGTAGTAGTCCCGCTTCGTAGCCACATTCCGGTCTTTTACAAGGGTGAAGTGAAGGTGTCGGTTGAAATTAGTTTTCAGGTCCGCAACGTTTTCCACCCCGGCCAGCCCCCGGACGGAGATCTGCTTCCTCTTGTCCTGGTCTGTCAACGGCTTGGCCATGTTTGAAGCGCTGTCTGCGGACGTTTTACTAAGTGTTCAAGTTAGATTCCAGCCGACACTCTTCTCTTTCCTCTTTCCACTGAGCGCACGAAACCGGTTGGATGGAGCGCTGCAGCTTGCTTTATATGGCACGTACACTCTGTCAAGACACAACGAGGAAAGTAAGCGTTTCCGGTCAGTACATTCAACATAAAACCGGAATTTGCATCAGGTGCAAAGCCCATGGAGGATTTGCAAGTGCGTCACAAGCTGCAATGTAACCATTTCTCGATCTTGCACAGCAAATTATTGACTAATGTTTAGTTTTAACTTAAACAAATCCCTAAAGCTCATAACTGTCTTGCTCTCTCCAAATTATCTTGGCAATTAGCAAGCCTTGTTAACGGTGTGGAGACATTTGGGAAAGGTTGCTTTTATTTTAACTTAAAAATTCCTTTATTTCCGGTATTGTTCTGATTCAATTGACGTAGATCTAGAAGAGTGAGACTTTTCCAAATACTTACAGAAGCAATACAAATGTTGTACTTTCTGTCTAAGCCTTAACTCGGAGATACGAAGCGTTTTTCGTCGACTTTTACAACGAACTGTACAAAAGTAATTTCTGCTACGTATACTGAGATATTTAGGTTATGGAAACAGTTTAGTAAAGAAAAAAATTGCAAGTTTGGCCTGTATTTTAGATTTAAATTAAATGCCATAAGTTGAACAAGTTAAAACAGAAAAAAAAAAATTCAAAATGAAAGCGGAACTATCAAAGTTTATACTTCAAGGTCAAACGGTCCTTTTTGCAGAAATTTCAACCACATGTAAATGTCATCAGTGAAGTGATACGATATGACCTACATGCATACAATTAAGCCTCAGAATTATTTACACCCACAGTCTTCGTTCAAAGTGAGTTTATTTGACCTATACATTTCTTCTGGCAGGAAATGGCATAAAAAAAACCTCCAAAAGACAGCAAGACTTTGTGTTAAAGATATTGATAGATTTTTAGTATTTCTGTTTTGTTTGTTTTTCATAAAAAAGCCACATTCACAATTGTTTATACCCCTTTACATTGCTACAGGTTTTGGAGAAATTGCAGCTTCATGTCAATATCAAATGGTCCTACAGCATTCTTTACAGTCTACAGATGAATCTAGAACAATTGATGAACAATTTAAAACAGATGATGCTGTGGTTCTCTAGTCAGTTACTGTTTAGTTGCAGGTCATGACTAAAACCAAGTGCTTAGTGATTTTGCAGTTAGAGTCTATCACTGACAGAGCTGCTTATTGTCACTGTTCACGAGCCATATAAGCTAAAGCTATGTCTAAGTGTTTTCAAGTGTCACTGGCCACAGTACATATCATCATTAAAAAGTACAGGGAGTTACACACTTCATCATAAAGGTCATGGTAGAAAAACATTTAAGACCCCCTCATTTTGGAGTGGACCAGCCAGAATCCAAACCTGAATCCAACTAACAGTCTGTGGCTGTAACTGAAGACTAGAGTGATTGCAAGGAAGTCATCCAACCTGAGTCATAAGAGGCAGTGTTATAAGTCAAATAGTAAATAGCGTGTATTAAAGGGTTTAAAAAGAAAGAAAGAAAGAAAGAAACACATAAAGTAATAGAAATTTTTCCAGTGTGGAAATGTATGCAAATTAGTCACCTGAGAATATACAAGGTTACATGGTATGGAGTGTAAACAAGAACTTAAAAAGTGCAAGAGGATGATAATATTCATATTTAAAGCTGTGTGTTAATGTAACTCATAGAGTCAGTGTCTGTTGTGGGGAAGAGGGGCAGTGTCACTGGGGATCTCAAGTCTTGGTGATGATGGGGTCCAGGAAGCAACAATTATTGTTATAACTCACCCTGGTGCATGATGGCACGCAAACAGTCCTCACAGAAGCTGATATGGGACGTCACAGCTTCTGTGTACTTAAGCAGACATTTGGGAGCAGTCCTGAATACATCCCAGTCAGTACAGTCCAAACACGCCTGCAGATTCTCCACAGCCTTACTGATCCTCTGCTATGATTTTGTCACATTAGGTGTGAAGAGTTTCAATTTGATGAATTTGATGAACGAAGCAAACTCACATGGGGAGGAAAATGGTTGGCAGATTTGGAGAGCAGTATTCCTGAATCACTGTCAAGTGTCAAGTGGATAAATACTGAGTTTACTGCTTCCATCCTCAAAGTAATGCTTTCTTGAGGAACTTCAACAAATGCGAACACATTTCAATGATCTACATTGTTGCAAGGTGGCTCGGTGGTTAGCACTGTCGCCTTGCAGCTACAAGGTTCCCGGTTCACATCCCGGTGAGGATACCTGGGATCTTTCTGTGTGGAGTTTGCATGTTCTCCCCGTGCAGCATGGGTTCTCTCCAGGTTCTCCGGCTTCCTCCCACAGTCCAAAAACAGTTGACGTTAATTGGTGACTCCGTAGGTGTTAATGTGAGTGTGCTTGGTTATCTGTCTTTAAATGTACCCCTGCGATTGACTGGCAGTCTGTCCAGGGTGTCCCCTACCTTCCCCCTGAGTCCACTCAGATAGGCTCCAGCCCTCCTCGACCCTAGTGAGGATTAAGCGGTGTACAGATAATGGATAGATGGACGTTGTTGCATGGGGAAGCTTTTGTATCTCCCTGGACCTTAACAGCTACTGTATTGCTGTATTCCATGTATGAAGTTGGAACCCTGTGCAGTAAGTGAAGAGCAACTGTGGTGCCTCGCTCATATCCAACAGCCCAAGGTGAGGTGGTTACTATTGCCGTTTGCATGACATCAAAGCAAGTCAGAAATCTAACCTGAGAGTTATACTATAAAACAAGTTTGACATATCCAGGCTTTCTTTGTGTAAATCGGCTCCACACAAACTAAAGCCCCAGTCAGAGATCCCGGGTATCACGAAGGTGGTTACCAACTTTCTTTGTCAACTCAGGCTCTCTGCTTCAAACTCTGTGCATATTTATGTGATTTCTGCATTGCAAAGTAAAGACAGGTCTGGTTCTGGTGAGATACTGAAATTACATGACTTCATTCAGTGATATTAGTAATGCACAACTCAGCATGTTTGTAGATAAAATATATTCCCTCAGATGAGAATCTCCCATAAAAAATAGTCAAGAAACGATTTGGTTAAAGGGAGACGCTCTTTCCAGCCGATTTAAACTCTGAAAATAACCAGCCTCCGACCAGGTTAGCTTAACATCATAAGTTACCATGGAGATCTAGCCAGGTAAAAAGAGAGCCAACTTCGTGAAAAGTCTGACTTTAAGCTCAACATACCTCGCTAACCCACTAATCTCGCTTTGTGGAACAGCCCTCTGCATGCACTGTATCGCAATCCTCGGTGATGGATTCTTTGCATGCCTGGTTCATCTCGGATGCAAGAGGATCCAACTGCGTCACTTGAAGCTTTGCTTCTCAGGCCCCTCTCACTTAGACATTCCTCAATGATTGGAGGATGTATACTGTAATATATATTACAAATATAATACGTTAGCATTATTTCTTTTAAGTGATATACAAAAGCAAACACCCATTCATAGTATATCTATCATTATTATATATGAATGAAATCATTAATGATTGTCAGAGTTATGGAAAACCTATTAGAATTAAAAAAGAATTACAGATTTCAGTGTAGCTTACTAACAGTAGTCTTCTAATAAAAATATTTTTAGACTAACGTCACTTTCATGTGTAGACATGTAGGGCTTTCTGTCAGGAGAGGTCTGTAGTTTGACCCTCTTCCTCAAACCATTCATCTTGGTGTTTTGAAACAGGATGCAATCATTTTTGGGTGACAGGGCAGATTGGACTGTGAACTCCACCAAAAACACCCCTCCAGGCGCAACTGTTTAGACACAGCACAGCCCCACGTCATCAGTTTTCCTATAAATGGGATCATAATTTACTCAGTAATCCTCATGCTGCATTGAGATTTGACAGTAGAGATTTAGGAAATGTTTATTGAGGTAAGAAACCACACGAGAAGTAGGATGATTTTCAATAATCAAACTTGTTTGTAACCGGGGAGTCTCCTACTAGATGTAAGAAACAATACAGGTTTAGGCATTTTTGCATTAGCGTCCTTTTCTGGACCCACAGGCAATGTTGATCAGTTTGTTAGTCTATGCTATGACCAGACTTTACATTGAATTTGAACCAAACAATTAGAAGAATGATCATTTCTGACAAATGCATGCTGTCAGGGAGCAGATGACACTTCAATCCATCCATTATCTATACACCGCTTAATCCTCACTAGGGTTGCGGGGGGGCTGGAGCCTATCCCAGCCAACTTACGGCGAAGGCAGGGGACACCCTGGACAGCTCGCCAGTCCATCGCAGGGCACTTAGAGACAGACAACCCAGCACACTCACATTCACACCTACGGACAATTTAGAATCACCAATTAACCTCAACATGTTTTGGGATTGTGTGGGAGGAAGCCAGAGAACCCAGAGAGAACCCACGCTGCACGGGGAGAACATGCAAACTCCACGCAGAAAGATTCCGGTGTCCCCACCGGGACGCGAACCGGCAATCTTCTTGCTGCGAGGCAACAGTGCTAACCAACTGCGCCACACTGCAACAGATGGCACCTCAATGACCATATTAAATTCTTCTGTGTACTGAGGTACTGAAGCAGAAAATCCTAATAATTGTACACAAACTAGTGAATCCACATTTTTCTTGAGCACTTGAGGCAGTAGACAACCTTAACAAAACCATGTTATGTAACACATTATTGAGGTAGCCAACAAGGCCTTGGCTGGGGAATAAAAAGACTTGGCAAGCTCTCTGACACAGTTTTACAACCATGAAAGGAGAAACTCAATGACGAAAAGGTGAAACAGATCAGTTTAATACTAAACCAAGCAAGATTTCAACAGCTATTCATTCAGGCTCGCACCATGACACAGACTGACTCAAGAAACAGAGTAAAACTAACCTTCTTCTTTTCTAATAACTTTAGGACAAAATGGTTATTTTTTGTCCTCGCAGAAGCAACACAAACACTGCACACAGTGTCTTATCATAGCAGAGATGCAGAAAATAATGATATTCTCAGCAGTCAAGAAGTGCAAGCGGCCAGAAGCTAGCAG